TTTAAATTTTATTTACATGATTTCCTTTCTGTCAGACCTATTATTTTTGCATCCGTGTTCCGTTCCGTTTTAAATGCATACTAAATAATACATTAATAATAGTACATTATTTTCCAAGGAAACATACCACATTTACCACACACCACATTTTAAGGCGAGAATGATTTTAGAAATCCAGAAGCGAGATGGAGAAAGAGGTTCGAAAATACGCTGCATTCAAAATGCATAAAAGCTACTTTAGTCCGTTTAAGGGCTATTTTTGAATAGTAATGTTAAATAGTAGTATTTTTAAACAATATTCTTATCGTTTATGGCCCTTTTTTGTATATTTCGTGCATATTGTACAATGTACATTGCATTTGGAATAATAAAATAAAATGAAAAATAAATTTTAATAGGACCCAACGTGCTATGTTTACACATCATTACATCATTTGTAGATATTACATATACACACAGTGTAAGGAAGTTAATCTACAAGTTCAATGAAGTTTTTATAAATGTATTGGGTTCGCTTCTTGGAATAACCGAATGAAGTGAAATTTCGCCACCGGACGCTGGTTACCTTCTTGACAGTCAGGATATTAATATAACCAATGACGCATGCGTTGTTATGTGTGTGCCAATTCGTGGTTACCAAACTTTGTATTTTCTTTGGCGAAAATATCAAGTAATCCGTTAAAAATCATTGTATCGTGCAGTGTCTAATATGGTCACATTAAATCAATATGAATAAATGTGTATCAGCACACAATCAGCCGATCCTATAAATTACAAACTATGAAAATGAAGACAACGTTTTAATATTTTTTATTTAACTGATACTGCCGCCCAATGGACACTCACATTGCTAAATGGCTCGCAAGTGCGTTCCCAGCCTTTACTCAATTTAATAATAATAACTCTTGCATTTTATGTAGGTATATACTATTGTGTGTAGTGTTACCGACTCCGTGGCTTAGTAGCTAACGCTCATAACGTATAACGGAAGACTTGGGTTTGATTTCCTTCGCTGATATACGTACAATCAACAAGAGTCGAGATTCTAGACGTCTAAGTGCTTGATTAATATTTTAGTAAATCAACGGACGAAACTGTAACGATTTTCGTAAAAAACCTCCCGTCGCTTTTATGCGGAGCGTATTTATAATACGTACTAATAGCCAGTAAATTAGAAACATTAAATTATATTGTAGTTTTAATTAATAACTTTTCGCCAAAAATCACTTGTCCAAATGTTTATTTTGTGTTCAAAGTGAAAGAGCCACATATATCGGACCTTTAAGTACTTAGTCATGAAAACTAGTTGTATATTGTATAACAGGTAAGTTAAAACTAATAAGGATCGATTAAGCTTAAATAACGTACGACATTTATGTAATACGGAAACAATGTTATGTGAAAAGGGAAATGTTACGCAACAAAAAAGCCGGTTGTGAAAAATCACTTTCTCATTGAATTCCTGGTGAAACTTTCGGAAAGGGCACACCATAAGGGCAGAGAAAATACACAGATCTTGTCGTGTGACCCTTGACTTCGATTTAAACGTCTTTAATACCCTTCAATAGATTGTCCTCGCTTTCTATTAAGTATTAATAACAATGTTTTACGGAGGCATCGCATTTGCGTTTAATCGTTGTCATGTATCAACTATAATTCTATTCCTACTTTCGTTTAAAGATATTATACTAAATAAATATAATACAATCTGGCATTATTAATATTATTATTATTTTATTATTTAGAGTTAATTTAATCTGGAATATAGTGTAATGGTAACAATATTAATAAAATTAAACTTATAAACATAAACTAATAATAATAAAATAATATACATTGAAATAAATAACGAAACTTAACATAAACTAAAATATATCATTAAAAGGAGTCCCTTTAGGCAAGGTTCCGAAGATACTGGCAGCGTTCCCCCTTTGAATTGCTAGACTAATTCTTTGTCCGAGGTAGCTGCCAGATCTTCGGTCTCCTGTGATGTCGACTAACCTTTTTGAAATTTCTTTAAAAAGCCTTAAAGCGCTAGGACCCCACGGACCAAGGGTCTCGACACCGAATGGGACAAAATCATATTCAGAGCCCAGACCCCTGTATTTGCCTGCTTTATTTTTTTCAGCCGCTTCACAAGCCGCACCAGCTCTGTAGTTGGTTCCATGTAGATGGGAAGGGGCCAGCGTGTCTGAACAGGTTGCATCCCATACCAGTACCCGACCCATCTTCCATGGAATCAAACTCATACCGTCCGGTCTCTTGCCATCGTCTCTTGCAATACCACTTGGCTCAAGAAGACTTGGCACGTTGACGGTGGCAAGGGAACGGCGTATGATATCGTTAAGTGCGGCATGTCTCGAGAAGCGGCCTGCACTTTTTTGGCATGACAGGCCGTGATGTCCTAACTTGTCGACATCACTGCCACAGGGACATATATTATGAGGAGCGCAGACCGGAACCCCAAGCCGTAGACAGGTTGCGATTCGAAGCGTGTCAGGCTCAAGAAAAGTTCCTGTATTTGACGATGGGTAAGCGTGAAGCCAGTAGCCGGCCTCATGCGTGCCCACGGCCAACCTAGCACGCGCCGAACCCGTACTACGACTCAAAAGATCGTCAAAAGTCAACTTGCAGTGTATGTCATCCCAGCTCCTCTGTGAATTTAGAGATAATGGAAAATTTTGACCTGGGCATGCAATCAAGAAAGCGTTTTTAGCTTCTTCCAAGCCAGCAATCTCAAAGTTTGAAGGGGATGCCCTTAAAATTTTACTTATGAGATTTGCTGAACTATGGACAGAAGATAGAAAGGCTGGTAAAGCGACACTGGAAATTTTGCGAATCCCTAAACCACCATAACGGATGGGTAGGGAAGCTTGGGTCCAAGATTTCTCGTTCAGCTGCATATTAAGAAGTGATTCTAAGCTAATTTTGATTAAGTCGTCTAATGGTGTTAAAATATCTGGGTGATTCCAAAAGGAGCAGCAACGGAGCACATACGTAAATTTTGGGAGGAAAAGACAGAATTTTAAGATGCAAAGTGCATAATGTGGACTAATTTCAAGGAGACGGTCAGCAGAATTTTGAAATTTAGTAATTGAAGTATGAATATAATCAGAAATAGATTCATTAAAAATTGGAGAACCTAAAAGGTAAAGGGAATTCCTGTTAACTATTTTAATATTTGGAGCCAAAATTTGAATTTTTTTTTACATCATTTAAATTTAAGTCGCAGTTATTTATGAAAAGTTCGCATTTGTTAAAATTAAGCTCCAAACCAATGGCTTTAAATTTATTTTTGATTAAAAGAAGGTCCGAAAACACAGTATCCACATCACCTCCTAGGGTTCCGTCGTCCAAATACCAAACATTGAAATTAGAATTTAAATTTTTGATTATGGGATTTATAGCCAAACTAAAAATTGCAGGCCCAAGGGGATCACCCTGTTGACAACCTACTTCCGAGGAAAGTTCATTAGAACGATATAACAATTTAGTTGGATCAGCGTAACTGAGAAGAAGATAATTGTATATTTCCGGTATATGTTGTTTTATTTCAGTCAGCAGGGTATCCCTATTTACCGAATTAAATGCATTTTTCACATCAATTTTGAGCAACACGTCTGGCTGTCCGTGACTTAGGAAAGAGCGTAGGGCATGGACGGCTGCCTCACACCCTCCTTTCACACCGAAGCCTAACTGTACAGGTTCAAATTCTGAATTTAATTTTGGTAAAATATGTCGAACAGCAATTTTGGAAGCCAGACGTCTTAGTGTTGAACCAACAGCAATTGGTCTCACCCCTCCGTCCTTTTTAGTGAGGGCAATGAGGTTCGCGCCGAAAAGAATGGGAACAATTTCTGTATTGACATCCCCGGAATACATAAAATTTATTAATTTTGTGATCGAGTTAATAAGTTGCTCGCCTGCATCACCCACAGAATGCGATGTTAAATCTTTCAAATGTTGGGGTGAGATTCCATCCAATCCTGCTGCCGAACCTGGTTTAAAAGATAAAATTGCATCAGTTACATCTTTGTTTCGAATTTTAAGGCATGCTTGCCCTGCTGTTGGTGGGTCGAGAAAATATGGGTTTACTGGAGCTGGGGGATGTAGTTAAATTAAATTGTAGTTACGATGTATTTCTGTTATAATAGCGATATAAAAAGAACAGGTATGTCTTTTTTAGTAAATTACCACAACATTCTAAGAATATTAGCTACAATATTGACCTCGAGGTGAAATAATGTTTTTTTAAGTTCAGAATACACGAAGATTCCATATGATTTTTTTATTTCTTGACCCGTAAATAAAAAATAAAACAAACGAAAGTTACCGCAACGTAGTAAAAATCACCAGGAAATCGTTCTTCCTGTTCATAATGATTTAATAGACTGTTTAAAAGGTTGTTGAGCGATGCCCTCTAGGCTCTAACCCCATGTATATTCGCTGCATGCATAACGAATTGAATTGCTTATAGAAAGTCTTTCAAACAGTTACTATAAAGCTGAAGATCGCAAAGTCTAAGGGGCCATCGGGCCTCGTATATCATATACAATTAAATTAAATTAAATTATAAGGCGCTTACTATTAGAACATTAGACAATAGAAAGTGTTGAAAGTTTATTTATTACACTGTAGCCTCTAGGAATACTATAAATGTTAGAAATAATTGTCTGTGTTTAATAATAAAATTATTATGTATTTATACTTTAAATCAATCTGAAATATGTGCATGATTACAAACTCATTTACTTTTTCGTCTTTTTATAGCGTAAATTATAATAATAAATTACCGGTCTGTTTTCATTGTCTGTCTGAACTGGTCTGAACTATTTTAAAAGTACCTTTCGAATGTAGATAAAGTCATAAGTAATATTGACTTCATTAAAAATCACAACTAATTCTAAATAAAAAATTTAAATACCTTGTTTCAGATATGGATACTGGTGCTGACGCTACTTACAAATGTACGCTGTCAAGATGGATTCAACGATCAGAACATGCTACGGGTACCACAAGTTGCTAATGAAGGTCAAATCGACGCAAACACAGGTTTTAATAACTTACATAATGACGCAAATAGCCAGAATGCATTGAACACAAGGTACCAAATGCCTGAAGATTCTGCCAATTTCGAATTCAATCGAGAGCCCTTAAAACCTAGAAAGGTTTATCGAATTAAAAATCCATTCCAAAATCAAGAGGAAAACGCTCACGATAACAGCAATTCACAAGACAGTGACACGTCAGCGAGCAATCAGTATGCCGGCATGCAGTACTCTTTACCACCCGAAGAATTCTTACAACAAATGAGAGCAGAGAATCAGTACCACCAGCAACAGCAGCAACAGCTGTCCACGCAACCTTCTGTTTACTCTTACACAGCTACCCCCCAACCCCAGTTCTTGTATTCTACAATGACTGCAGCAAACTATGCTAACCAGCCCAATCAAAATATACAAGAACAAAAATCATTAAATTATTATAATCCCAATGTAAATTCATTTCAATTTAACAATGCTAATACGTATGGTTTAGATGCTACTGTTAGTACACCAGCACCGACATATTTGTCAACTTCAAGTAATCAGTACATGGGTACTCCAGCAAATACATATATATCTAGTCCCTCCCCTATGTATATCACGAATTCACCTAATCTTCAACCGACATATGTATCTTCTCCATATTCAAACACTCAGACTGGCACTGTAGACTATAATACAAATAAAGACACAACTATAGGACACAACACGCTAAACTATGATAATAATAATATCTACAATAAAAAAGTTCAGTTAGACCACTACAGTAACTCAGGAAATGCAATGAGATATCCAGCTAACGTACAATACCAAAGCTATCCATCATCGACAACATCCCCTGTTTCTTCTTCTTATTCAGAAGATTCGAGAGATAACTGGGGAAATGCTGCCACTAATTACAATAATGGTGTTTTACATAAATCCACGCAAGATATACCTGTAGCACAATATTCAACAAATCCCCATTACCGACTGGCTAATAATCAAGACGACTATAAACATGAGGCAAATTATGACAATGTTAATCAAGATAGCCAACGTTACAATACTTTAAGTACTAACAACATGTATTATAGTTATATCCAGCCGCAAAACCAAATCAATAATTTAAAAAGTCACGCTAGAGAAGTTGACCAACAAATGGGACAAACAGCAACGTATTCACATGGAGATTATGGATGGAAACTTGACAGAAAGCCTACATATGGGTCTGAAATATCAACGGCTGGCTATTCCGGATATCAAAATAATAATGCAAAATCAGATAATGAAGCAATTAGCCAAGTAAGTTTTCACATGGATACAAGTAAACCATATAATTATAATCAAATATCAAAGTCTAGTTCGGAGAAATTAGAAGCAGATGACTTTGTTAGAGCGGTCACCAAGGCTCATGATAGTTATAAACAGCAACTAGAACTTAATCGAATTTCAAATGGACAGTACAGTAATAATGCATACACAAACACAGATTTAATCAATTCTTACTACGCAAACACAGAGAGGAATAACAACAAACCCGATAGTTCAAATAACAACGCATTTATAAATGGGAATTCTCAGCCTGATTATGTGACTGCATCGCCTTACTACGCAAGAGAAAACTATTTGGAAAATAAACCTAAACAAATATTTGATCATGATAAAGCTATAAAAAATATTGTACCAATAGATGTATCTAATGTTGTACAAAATTCTAACGCACAATTAAAGTCAAGCATTGGTATTGATTCAAATGATAAATTTTCGCACAACAAAGAACAATACAATCGTCCTACAAGTGAAACATATTATAAAGATAAAAACAACGTTTACACCTTTAGTATAAAGTCTCAGCCAGAAGATTATCAATCCCTTTCAGATAGACTAAAGCAATTGGACCTATCTCCACAACAGGGAAAATCTTCAGACACATTTTTGAGCTACAACAGTTTGACAAATAATAAGCGATATGTTGACGATTCATTGCAATCAAAAAATTATGGAAATCTAAACCCTAGTAACTCAGACAATCTTCAAACGTCAGGAAATATTCAACAAACCAGTTTACAGCGAAATCAACTACCATCAGATTTAGCTGCGTTGCTTAAATTTAATGATATACCATTACGGCTGACTCAACATCTAAATCCTGATACATTGAGACTCCCAGGAAACAATTTTGATATGGAAAACTTACCGAATCCTTTGCCAGTAAGACTTAATCAAAACATTGAGCAACATCATGTTGACGTAGCATCTGATATCATAAGTAAAATATTAGCTGCAAGACAAAGCACTAATAAGCAAGAACCAGATGTACAACCTAATAACCAGTTTTCCACTATACATGGGTTTAAAGTTGCTAACCCATTTAACATTGACCTAAAATTAGTCTCAGATATGCTTAAGGGAAAACCTGTCGTTGACGAAAGCCAACTAAGCTCAGTTCGCGATCAATACAGTAAACCAGTTCCTATTAAGTTTGATTTGCAGCAAATACAACAACTACTTTTAAAAAACGAAAACGGAAATAGCCTCAGTAGCTTAGGAATTATTCCCAATTCATATTTTGATATGTACAGTAGTAGTCGGTATCCATACCAAGGTAGTAAATATTCACGAAGTGAAGAAGAACCAGAAAATATACCAATAGCAGAATCATCAAATTCTCATTTAATCGGCGCTGTAGTAGAAGAAATGGGACAAGACACAACAGAGACAACGGCCACAGATGACGATGTGGAAGCAAATAACGAAGATGATAGGACTATAAAGCCTTTTAACACACAACACAGAATGATGGGCGAAAGATTTAGGCTTTCCAATAATTTGGGGCGTCATATGTATCAAAGAAAATTTCCCAAAACTATGATTGATCAGCCTTACCCTGTTCTAAAGCCGCCTCATAAATCTCGTAGTAAACTGCACTCCATAGACAAAATTAATAGAAAAAGACGTATCAATAAACCTAAACATTTGAGAATCTTTAAGACGGAGCCACTTTTTGAAGCTAACACATCGTTGGAAGACGATTTCCAACCAGCTGTTTCTACCTTACTAAAACCACCTCCAGTAATGGAGGACAAATCAGACGTAGTTGATGAAGAACAATCGGGAATAGAGGGCACACCATAAAAATGCGTGACATGATTTCTCTTTGTACTCTACGCTCTTTTGCATGAATCTTTTCTTTTATGTTGCAAGGTTTTTTCCCTATCTTAAACCAAATACCGTATAAATCATATTTACTGAATACACTTGCGTGTAACGTGGTATATGTTGTTATTCTTTTTTTTTTCTATGTTCTTGTTACAATAGTTTTGATTTATATAATCATATAGATTAATATTCTTTGTAAATAATAGTAATAGTTTTTCATTTTACAAAATGATTGTTAATTAATTTAGTCATAACAAAGTAACATGTACATAATTTATATAATATTAAGGAAAGCATTTAGCAATTAGCATATTCTACGAGTATAATTGTGTGTAGATCACAAAGTTTTTTTTAAAATAAATATCGTATTAAACATTGATTAGTTTAATTTAGACGGAGTTTAATAGATCAGTACTTTATTGGATCAACCATAGATGACTAACGGTATTTATCACCGTGACATGTATATTGCTCACCAGTCAGATATTTGTCTAGTATCTGAATTTTTGCACGTTGGCACGGTGCGCTCTTGTTTACAAAAGTAAATTCAATTAAATTCAATTGAATTTTTTTTAATTTTATGGCCTGGTTACGAGACCTTTAAGCCAAACAAAAGTATTTAATAAGACATATTTTTACACATCAGTTTTGGTGTTTTTCCCTCACGACCTAAATTGTCTACGGTGAGAAAATCTATAGATCGGGCTTACTTGCCATTATGTCATGCGCTCCACGCCAACTGTACTACCCCGGTATAATAGCAAGCTATCTGAAACTAATCGATTAATTTTTTACAAAGTATTCATGAATTTCGAATATGTAACAATATAGGTTTTGATTAAATTATTATATATTTTTAAAAGATACAAGGGGAAGTAAAACATTAATTTCTGCTATAATACATATTTACAAAACGATACAAAAAAGTCATGTATTATAAAAAGCCAAGACCAAGACGGGACGCCGGCCGCCCCCGACCTACTTGTAGTCTATATCATTAATAATACCTATCATCTATACTAGGCTTCACTAGGCTATTTGTCTTGAACTTAAAAAATAATCTCGTTCTCAATATAATTTGGTAACTAATTTTTATTTATTATTATTAGCAAGTGTTTTTAGGCTGGCTATAATCGTTGCCGTCGAGGCATGATTACGTAATATTTACAGCCTCACTACAACTATAGTGTCCCACTAATGTGCAATGAGCAGACGACCGCATTTCTTTTTCACTGATAGTTCCATTTATAGGCTAAAAGAATCTGTCTTCAGTGCCATTTAATACTTAACAATTTATAGGACATTCCGCTTAGACGAATAAATGTAGTGCTTGACCACATGGCATATACATTATACATACTATGTATTATATCATCTTCAGTTATTTTATACCAGCTGACCTGGCGAACCTCATTCCGCCTAACAGTCAATGAATAAGCAAATTTGTGAATTTAAAATTTATAAAAAAACTATCAAGTTAAGTTTATTAGGATATTAAATAAAATATACAGTTACAAACTTAAGTATTTTAACAAGGCGCCTGTCAAAACAAACCATAGACAACATTACGTGAGATGTCATTTGCGTTTTGTTATACCATTATAACAAATGACTGATGATTCATAGTTTTTAAATGATAATTTATTGATGAACTATAATTTTAATACTTAGTATCCTAATCCGGACGACGACGACGCGAAACCAAATCTAAAAACACGACGTGATGTTTTATATATAGATTATTAATATTTATTAGGTAACGTGAGAACTTTAAGATAATACGCGTAAAAATTTGTTTAAAAAAGTTGTTTTTTTAACGAATATCTATCTCATATTCACAAAACGTAGTAATATATGCGTTTTATAACGTATAATATAATTACGTTAGTAATATTAGTATAATATAATCATGATATAACGTGATAACTTAAATACGCACCTAATCTTTGTGTATAAAACAACAAGTAAATGATCTCACTTGATAAATTGTTTAAGATAATAATTGCGTGTGTTTCGCTTTCTGCGCGCGTCCATTCCACATTTACGACCGCTTGTTAAATGCGACACTTTTACAAGTCCATCAACTAGTTGCAATAAGTTTAGCGTGCAATTGTCAACCATGGTCCTACGTTCGCAAAGATTACACACACACTTTTAAAATTCATAACTTTTATAGGTAAACTAAAACATCGGCAACAACCAAAAGGTAAAGAATGGCTTTCATCTGCTTACTCACTCACATTCGCTACGCTGGTTCTGCAACTCGAATTTGTCTCTACTTGCCTAAATAAAATGATAATTTATGTATAGGCACAGTACAAATACTCGTACCAAGTACGTTAGAAGTTATTATTCATTATTTTCAAAAATTATATCTTTCGCCTTATTCGACATTTGTAGAAAAAACGACACTAACAATAGAAAAAATTTACTCTCATCATTTTTAACTAACGCGCCAAAAGAAGTATATCTTCAAAAACACACACATGATTATAATTATATAAACTTATAATTTTACACACACATTCTTAAACTACACGATTGCTAGAATTTAAAGAATATTGTAAATTTTAGCAATCGTAAGTAAATTACCTTAGAAACTTTTTATCAGATCTTTTCGATTCACACGAATTGCAACATTAACGACCTATGCCCGGTTTCTATATAACATACCAATCGTATTTGCTCGCCCTAATTAAATGGATTTAATGAGTTAAAAACGTATTGAATTTTGAAAATACATCACTAGATTTTCTGACTTCAAATATAGTCGAAGGAGGATGTTATCAATTCGTCGTGTATATTTTTATTGTATTTAAAGAATCTGTACTATCTTATAAAAAATAGCGTCTTAATAGAGCATCACCACGTTTTTTGTTTTGGTTAAACAACATATGAATCACAAAACGTTCGTTAAAAACATATGAATTTAAGTAAATTAAATGTAATTTAATATGCATGCGTTTATTGTTATGCAAATATTTTATATTATACCTACCTAAAAGTGCAATCTTTAAATATTAAAAGAACAACTTTATCAAAGTTAGAAGCAGTTTTAATCTTTAACTCTTTTAAAGATACATTGTCATAATACACGTGAAAAATTAATCGGTTTTTTCCTATTACGCATATATTACGCTTCACTTCGCCATTGAACTGATATAAAATACGTCATCGACGGCTAGTAGGCCAACTCTTAAGTAACTCAACGTTGAATTAATTCAGATACATAATATTATACCGGTATTTTGAATGAAGGAGAGAGAATCTCCTCGGTCGCTTTCATTAACGTTTTGCGACACAGATGACGCCAATATATAAGTTTGTAAGATGCCCGAAAACTTTACAAACGAGCTTAGCTTGTTGTTGAAGAAACAACTCCGAGTGGCCTGCGATTAGCTAATCAATATGGCTACTATTGTAAGTAAATAAAAAATATGAAATCCAATTTAAATTAAATTAAATTTATAAATAAATCTGACCATATATCTATTTGTTCACAGACAAAATTGACAACGTTAGCCATCCTACTAAGCAGCGCCTACGCTGGGTTCCTGCATGGACATTCTCATGATAACTTACATGATCACTCTCACAATCTACACCATGACCTGCAGGATCACTCTCACCATGGTTTAGATGAACATTCTTATCATGATGACCACTCCCATCATGATTTCAGTCATGGATCGGCACCACTGCCTCATCTATCAGCACCCAGCGGGTTTGAAGGATCATCCAGTTTTTCCCCTAGTTCCTTCCCTGCGGGTTCTCTGCCATCAGCCTCATACTCGGGGAGTGGTTTAATTGGAGGGGGATCTTTAGGATACAGCTCGGGCTTCGGATCAGGTGGTCTTACTGGCGCTAACTTTGGCTCGTCAGGAAGTATTGGATCAGGTCTTTCCGGCCATGGTTTAAGTTCTGGTCTCAGCGGGTCCCTTTTATCTGGACCTGGTCTATCATCTGGAATAGGCGGATCTGTAATAAGCGGAGGTTCTCTACCGGGAGCAGCTTTATCTGGACTAGTTAATGGTCACCCAGCCCCACAAGGCCCTAAGGCTCCAGTTATTGATGAGATTCACGGCCTTGCTAACAGCAATGGTGCGCCAACACAATACCGAGTACGTGAAGAAACTTACCAAGTATTCAGAGATGTCCACCACAGAGTTCCACAGCCTGTACCAGTTCCAGTACCACATACTGTCCAAATTCCAGTTCCACAGCCTTACCCGGTCCAAGTACCAGTAGTCAAAAACGTGCCAGTGCCAGTCGTTAAGATACAACATGTAAAAATCGATAAGCCAGTGCCGTACCCAGTGGAGAAAATTGTCAAGGTACCAGTTGAGAAGGTAGTAAAAGTACCAGTTGACCACCCAGTTCCCGTTGAGAAGGTTGTGGAAGTACCTATCGTGAAATTGATCAAGGTTCCAGTACATGTTGTGAAGAAATACCCAGTTCCTGTATTCAAGACTGTTCACCACAAAGCCCACCAAAGCCACGGCTGGCATGGACATGAGAGTCACGGCCACAGCTATGGGCATGGACATGAGAGTCTCGGCCACAGCTATGGGCATGGACATGAGAGTCTCGGCCTCAGCTATGGACATGGTCATGATAGTCTCGGCCACAGCTATGGGAATGGTCACGAGAGTCTTGGCCTCAGCTATGGACATGGACACGAGAGTCTCGGCCACAGCTATGGGCATGGACACGAGAGCCTCGGGCTCAGCTATGGGCATGGACACGATAGTCTCGGCGACAGCTATGGGCATGGACACGAGAGTCTCGGCCACAGCTATGGGCATGGCCATAGTGTTGGGCATGGCGATGAATACGCTCACGGTCACGGTCACGATGCATGGTCTGGGTCTCAATGGTAAAGAAGATTTAAGCTACTACCTCATCCGTTATGCTCTTTTGTAAATAGTTTCAGTGTTAGCTCATCGAGAGGCTGCCATGTAGGGTGATAACTAAGTCATTAATTAGGTTAATGAATTGATATTCAATTCTATATTGTAAATAGTTATAATGATAGAAATATTGAAAATAAATTGTTTTCCAAAGAAGCTATCCTTTTATTATTACAAGAACTCCATATTATAAGTACTACCTTTCATAATGGAATTAGGCGGGTGATATTATGTTCAGCACATCTTTAAGAAAGAATATTTTATTAAAAATATGCACCTACAAATACAGTATGCGTAGGACATGTCTCGATTGTGTTCACAATAAAGATGGCTCACCATACCTGAAGCCTAACAGAATTTTCCATTTTGCTCCATATACCTTTTGAACTCTCTGAAAAACGATTTTACCTAAAGAAAATGTACAGAAGTATCGAAAGTCTTCAATGTACAAAAATGTTTAACGGGCGCTTTAACCCCTAATTATAGACAACCACCATTCGTTACTTATTGAATAAGCATAATGCTACAGTAATAAATACATATAATAAATTCTAAAACTATGTGTACAATGATTACAAAGGGAATAAAATAATTTGTGTGATCGTTTATTACCTAACTGTTAAAAAAATTGCAAGAAGATTATAATAAACCTGGTAAAAGATACATATTGTTTTTTTGTATATTTACACAACTCAACAATAATAAACGCATAATTGAAATATTGCCTATATATCTACTTATTCTTAAGGAATCATAATACTCCTTTTTGCGCCTCATACATAATTAGTACAAGTCTTCAATTACCGTTAACTGTACAAGTGGTACTACATAAAATATACAACATTAATAGCTACGGTAATTTTTACAGTAGAAGAATATGTATAGACTGGGGTATGACATCCTGTTTTGAACAACAATTATTTAAGGCTTGGTGAATTAGTTTTCTGTGATTACTAAATCGAAACTATTGTTATTTTGAAAATCATACCTAGAACCAAGGAGACGGCAGGTTATATATTATCGTACATGTCTGTTATTACAAGACATAATACAGTAACGATAGCATTTTTCGATTGGCACAATACCAATTCTTAAAGGGCCGGCAACGCACTCGCGAGCCCTCTGGCATTGAGAGTGTCCATGGGCGGCGGAATCACTTAACATTAGGTGAACCTCCTGCTGCCCGTTTGCCCCCCGTTCTATAAAAAAAAAACAAAAGGCTGTTATTAGAATAAAACAAACAGCAACCACTGCAACGCAACTAGGACCAGAGCTGATTATACATATGTAATAAAAACAATTAAATGCCTCAGATACAGTTTGGTAAGATACGTACATACATAGGTACATGATTACTTTGCCAAATCATAATTGTATAATTTAAATATTTTTTACATAATCTACTTGACTAACATCTATATCCCAGCGCATCTCATAACGATAAATCAATATTTCATAAGTAGGTGAACTAGTACCTAACCAGTGATTAATCAGAATAAAGAGAGGATCAATATATCGGTCTACGATATTACGTAAACACTGACACAGAATTTTAACCGGAAGGAATGACTAATATATCGGTCAAACGATTTTTTATTATTCAACAACATTCCCAACTGAGTGAAATTAATAAAAACAGGTTTCAGCTCAAAACTTGCTCAATGAAGGGTCAAGTGACACAATTTTTACGTAACGGAAGGTGAAACACAAATCAAAAGTGTAACGAATATACGTTTTCTATGTTAATTTTATTTGACAGAAGAAAATAATTTATGGTTATTGGATTGATGTTGGAAATTTTTAAGTGCTTAAGAAATAAAGAAAACACCGTGGCTTATTGCAAAATGGAAATTTACCAAACGTAAGGTTAGCTAATAGATCCCACCCTTAAACTTACATCACAAAACAACAAAATAAAACTACTTGTGGTAAGGCTAATAAAGCTTTGAAAAACTATAAATGTGTTATAATTTTTACAAACTTCTTTTTTATATAGAAAATATGACCTACTACAAAAAGGAAGAGGGAACCTTTTTATCGTTTTGCGGTGATATTAAAGATTAAAAAAAACCGGTTCGTAATTCGTATCGTAAAGAGAATAAGTATTAGGGGATTAAGTATTTTTAAATTGGTAATTACTAGCAAAGCTTAATCGTAGTGTGGGTGGAAGTATAATATTTTTATAATTTTGTATAAAACTTATGTTCACTGTAACTGTCATGTATTTTGGAATAGATAGATTGTAACATATACTATAGAAAACGTATTATATATGCTTTAATAAACAAATTAATAAATACTATGTAATCTCACTATTCAGAGTGATATGATGCAATTTTCACTTAAGTGTCGAAAAAAGGCAAATAAGATGTAATATTATGTATGAACTAGAATTAAAACAAACAAGTCAGTCAGGTTTCTGGTAATTACGCATTTACAACATAAGGAAAGTAAAGATCCGGTACCAAAAATATTTATATATTGCGTAACTTATCAAATGTAAGGCACGATTACAATTTTAAAGGGACATTAAAGTACTAAGATTGCAGATAACAATTGATGATCGGTGTATAGCTTCCTTGTTGAGTTACAAAATTTGTTGAAAACTTTTAAAGAATTTCTTTTAAATTCTTTACCTGCTTTAAATTTATGTGCATTTGAAGTACACAAAACTTAGAGTTAAATAATTATATAAATTAATTTAACACATTGTCGTCAAATATATAATTTAGTAACTTTACTTGTTAGGGTAACACTTTACGAGTCTTGGCCTAAAATTTTACATCTTTTTTATTGATAATCAAGATACAGTATCAAATTTAAGTGAGAAATGATAGACACACAAAACTTATTGTATGTTTTAGCCGAAATCTTATTTTCTGGTTCTTAGTTTCTTAGTTGCTGGTTACGGGCTCGTTTTTGCGCAACCAGACAAACGCGTGTTTATTTTCGCATTCTGCAGACAAATTAAACCTACCCAACATGTTCCAGACATTCAGATACCTTCTGGAGTGTTCACAGGCTTCTTGGAATAACTTCACGTTGATGATTTTTCTTAATACCTGCTCCCTCGCATTCCAGGATCACGACCGTTTCTACAGTTATTTTAGTATAACTTCAGTTGATGTTATGGTTTCAACAATTACTCAAAAATAATGCTTTTAATAAAATATGTCGCATAGTTGATCATAGACCCGAAAAATTCACAGATTTTTAAACTAATACGCTACGTGGCGTATAAAACGTTAAATAAAGAATAATGTGAAATAATTATTTTTATTTATAGTACATACGCCAAACATTATTTTTACAATTTCGCTGTCTAAAAATAGTTATAACTAATGTGTGTTAAGATTAAAAATACAAGAGCAACATTCGATGCCATAGAGTCTGGCAAAATATTAATGATGTCACCTGGGTAATTTATTCAGTGCGTTGTATCGAAAGAGCAGTCTTTATAACTTGTATAAATATGTGGGCCGTAGCGTTATCAAATCACAACCCATCAGACCTCGGAACCGAGAACAACAAGCCTTTTTTTTTAGGTGGCTTAAGGCGATTAGCTAAAAGCCATGGCATTTGTTGTAAGTTTTAATGCATCACTATTAAAGAACCAATAATAATTATAAAGTGTTTACTCGAATAACACTAAAAAATATTCGATTTTTAAATATATATAATTACATTATATACTTGTTTCAGGTTAAAATAACAGTTTTGGCTGCGTTAGCCTACACTGCAAACGCTGGCCTCTTACACGGTCACGGCTCAGACTCCTACGTTTCGTCAGCGCTAAATGCACCATCAGCGTCATATGGACCACCTTCAACAACCTATGGTGTACCCTCAGGACCAAGTGTCCTAAGTAGTCATGGAAGTGCTATCGATGGTGGACTTCATCATGATTCAAACCACGGATCATTATTAGACGGACATTCACACGGCGATGCTTTGAGTGGCTCATATGACAGTGGTCATTCTTCTGGCTTCACACCAATTGAAGGACCAAGCTTTTCCGGACCTAGTTCAGGACTAGATGGGTCTGGCTTAGGAAGTTCTTGCCATGGAGGTTCTGGCTTAGGTGGTTCCGGCTGTGGAGGCTCGGGACCCTCATCTTCATTAGACGGCCCAGGTCTGTCAGGACCCGGTCTCACAGGACCAGGTTTAGCTGGGCCCACTTATTCTGGACCCGCTGATATTTCCACTCAAATTTTACCTGGTGCTGTCATCAATTCCGCAATAACCACTAATGTTGGAGCCCCAAAAATTATTGGGACCAGTGTTAGCGTTGGTCGCCCGGTCGCTTCCGCAACAAGATACGAGCTCCAATCAGTTGTTCAAAACGTGGTTCGACGAATTCCCGTGGAAGTAACTAGACATATTCAAGTCGCTGTACCCCAAGCCGTACCAGTCCCAGTTCGTCAAGAAGTGAAAGTGCCAGTCCCACAACCCTACCCTGTTCATGTGAATGTTGTGAAGCACGTGCCTTACCCAGTGTACAAGACCCAACATGTTGAAGTTGAAAGACCAGTCCCAGTAGAAGTTGTTAAGCACGTACCATTCGAAGTTATCAGAAAAGTTCACGTTCCGGTTGAGCGGCCCTACGAAGTCATAAAGAAGGTTCATGTACCAATTGTAAAGCACGTGGAAGTTCCCGTAGCAGTCTGGAAACCTTACCCTCTACATATCATCAAACACGTAACACATTACAAGAAGAAGAGCTGTTGCTGGTGAAGAGAGTCGTGCCAAATAGTAAATAGATTTGTAAATACAATAGTCACTAGTTGTAAATATTATGTTAAAAATAAAATATAAAATAGTTAATTTTGTTTAATCTCTCTAAATATAAAATAGTTAATTTTTTTACCGATATCTATACGAAATGAGAAAATGAGCGGACGTGTAGCCTATCACACACAATACAAGATAATACCTATAACCTATACCTATCCATATATTACCTATAGTGAATATATGGATTAATTAGTAGTCTGACCATGACAAACATATAATATGCTATAAATATAGGTAACATTCCCCACTATTACACCTAGAAGTAAACAAAATGTGTCTCAACGAAGATTATGTAAAAAATGGTTACTTATGTACATTTTGTAAATGAAAAAAAAGGAAACTATATTATTTTCATCAAAATGCATCATATCAATCATTGATATTTATTACTTTTTAATTATCAAAACGAATAAAATAATCGGAAATTAATCAAGAAAATAAAAATCACACATTTGAAACAAATTTTACAGCTTTTTTTTTTGTACGAAAACCTACTTTCTATATTCGAATAAGTACTTCTAGGAATATTCTATATTTCAAATAGAGCAGATTTTATATTTAATTGTATATTTTACAATAATAGAGCAGTTTACTCAACAATCTTCCAGACTTTTATCCTATATATTTTCATATAAAAAAGAAGGAACGCTCACCCTTCTTAATATATTCTTCTCGTTCTTCTCATGAATAGAAATTCACAAATTACAGTGAAACCTGCTCAATAGGGATCTTAGGGACCAAGGATTTTTTTAAAGAGGTTTTCATTTGTCCAGATTTCCAATTAGAAAGGTTTAAAATAAATATCTCATTAACATTTACTTGTATTGGTCGAAATATACCGACTTTCCAAAATCATAATCTGATAAAAGCTTAAAATTTCTATAATGTTATACGTTTGGATATTTTATACAATTTTTTACCTTGCTTGTAGGTCAAACAAATATATATATATATATATATATATATATATATTCAAATATACGAGTCGAAACCTGTTTCAACCTGATGAATTTTGTCACTTATACAGGGAATTGAGCTACAGTCCCAATTATAGCGGTAAACATCGAAAAAATCCTAGAATCAAATCTCATTTAACTACATAGGTTAAAAAAGTCTCATTAACAGAGGCAATTCGATGAAAAATAGCCGAGACCTTATTGCAATTCTAAATAATAGAGGTTTCTTACTTATCCAGGTCCCACGTAACCAGGTTGCACTGTATGTTTTCAATAGCTTTAGCAGTCTGCGTGAATAGATTACTGGTAATAAGTAAAATATATTGTACTTTTAAATAAATCGTGAAAGGATATAAATGCAAATTAATACATATAACATTATTTACATAAGATCTTTTGAGTGTTTTCAGCAATCGTGAGTCAGTGAGGGCTACCTCACACAATAACTGCCAACTTGATGTGGTAACGCAACTTGCAATATACTCGTATACCATTCAATAACGTCAGTGGTTGGAGGCAAAATTTTCTTTACCCTATATTGTAATCTTATGCCAGAATTGAATTAAAAATTCCAATAAAATAAGTCAACTTCAAAGTAAACAAGTGAATAACCCAACTAAGTTAGCGACTCTTATGCGAGCGGTACTTGTAATAATTAAGGTTTCTATAGAAGGTCCATCTCTATTATTTATATTTCGTTGTACTCTAGCTGAGTTCCCAAAGTTGGCTAGTTTTATAACTTAGTTGTAGAATGAAGGTAGATAAAATTGTGATCAAGTAGAAGTGGTCCAGGTGTAGCCTTTATTGTGTAGTTCTATCGCAAGTGTTCCTGGCCTGGCATGGAACAGACAAATTCCTGTCTCTAATTTACAGACAAATATTATTAACAGGTAAGATTTAAATTATAAACAAAGGAATAGGAAAACAAATCCCATTTGAACATCACCATGGGACGGCTCGTAAAAGGTAGTACTTAGTTAACGATTATCTAGTTGATAAAAGGGCCTGGGTACTAGACAGGCTACTTCTAATTAATTTGCGAAATTTGTTTAAAAATAAGTGTTGTTTGCCATAGTCATTTTGTATGATTTTTTGATATTTTAAAAGAGTACCGAGAGTTTTTTACGCCGTCTTTTTCTCTCGGCCTACACCCTCTGTCTTCTTTGCCGATGAGTAGGAATGTCTACCGATCCAAATTTAATGACGTGGAATAAGTGATACCTGTATCTTATAATGCATAATAAACATTTTTTATTTTTACTGGCTTTGGGGCCTATACTGTAAAGTCTAGGCGACATAGATATAATGGAATGTTAATGGAATTTGGATAAACTACCCCGATATCCAGATTGAGCATTCCGATAAACGAGCCTAGGTCTGGATACCCATAGTTACATATTACAGTTACAGTTACATACCCTCACGCTTTGTTATGTATGCTTGTCACATTTAATCTTGTATTTTATTTTTCTTAAGTACCAATGTCAAATCAGTGTGCCGAGCGTTAGCAAGCAATAAATAAATGTTATAGTAATCAATATTTTTTTATTATAAATTTATCTTTTTCGGCCAGTAAAAATCTTGGTACAAATATTTAATATTAATACTTAAAATTATATTATAAAGCCAATTGATCAAACTTATCTAACACATAAAACTGAATACATTAAATATTCGTGAAAGGATATAAATGCAAATTAATACATATAACATTATTTACATAAGATCTTTTGAGTGTTTTCAGCAATCGTGAGTCAGTGAGGGCTACCTCACACAATAACTGCCAACTTGATGTGGTAACGCAACTTGCAATATACTCGTATACCATTCAATAACGTCAGTGGTTGGAGGCAAAATTTTCTTTACCCTATATTGTAATCTTATGCCAGAATTGAATTAAAAATTCCAATAAAATAAGTCAACTTCAAAGTAAACAAGTGAATAACCCAACTAAGTTAGCGACTCTTATGCGAGCGGTACATGTAATAATTAAGGTTTCTATAGAAGGTCCATCTCTATTATTTATATTTCGTTGTACTCTAGCTGAGTTCCCAAAGTTGGCTAGTTTTATAACTTAGTTGTAGAATGAAGGTAGATAAAATTGTGATCAAGTAGAAGTGGTCCAGGTGTAGCCTTTATTGTGTAGTTCTATCGCAAGTGTTCCTGGCCTGGCATGGAACAGACAAATTCCTGTCTCTAATTTACAGACAAATATTCTTAACAGGTAAGATTTAAATTATAAACAAAGGAATAGGAAAACAAATCCCATTTGAACATCACCATGGGACGGCTCGTAAAAGGTAGTACTTAGTTAACGATTATCTAGTTGATAAAAGGGCCTGGGTACTAGACAGGCTACTTCTAATTAATTTGCGAAATTTGTTTAAAAATAAGTGTTGTTTGCCATAGTCATTTTGTATGATTTTTTGATATTTTAAAAGAGTACCGAGAGTTTTTTACGCCGTCTTTTTCTCTCGGCCTACACCCTCTGTCTTCTTTGCCGATGAGTAGGAATGTCTACCGATCCAAATTTAATGACGTGGAATAAGTGATACCTGTATCTTATAATGCATAATAAACATTTTTTATTTTTACTGGCTTTGGGGCCTATATCTAGGCGACATAGATATAATGGAATGTTAATGGAATTTGGATAAACTACCCCGATATCCAGATTGAGCATTCCGATAAACGAGCTAGGTCTGGATACCCATAGTTACATATTACAGTTACAGTTACATACCCTCACGCTTTGTTATGTATGCTTGTCACATTTAATCTTGTATTTTATTTTTCTTAAGTACCAATGTCAAATCAGTGTGCCGAGCGTTAGCAAGCAATAAATAAATGTTATAGTAATCAATATTTTTTTATTATAAATTTATCTTTTTCGGCCAGTAAAAATCTTGGTACAAATATTTAATATTAATACTTAAAATTATATTATAAAGCCAATTGATCAAACTTATCTAACACATGAAACTGAATACATGAATACCAAAATTTTGTTAAATCGTGGACTATGCAAATTATGATATAATAAAATAATCTTATAATTAACATTTCCAATAGGAACGCATATATGTATATAAATTGATTCATTTCTCTAGTTTCGATTAGATTTCATAGAACTTCGGTGGACGGCTCTTCATCTCAAAAATGGTTTTTCAAGTAAGTATTTTACTATTGCGATGAAAATGTTCTTCAAGCTAGCTACTTCCCAATACCAAATATCTATTAAGACTGGTCATATATATTTTTTATTTGTTAATTGTTATACTTTCTATTACAGGTACCCGTTTACTTTTCCATAATATTAATATTAGTTCATGGAAAGGACTTAGACCCAGGTCCTCAAAGATTATCAATAACAAATTTTTCATCACCAACCAAAGCACACAGACAGTTTGCCACTAAGGACGCTATAGTTTACTTAACGCCAAGTCAAATAAAAGACCTTGAATCTGGTAAAGCCGAACTAAGATATATGGCACCCGATCAAATAACAATTAACAAATTCCCCATCAATCAGAGGGAACCTTATCAAAATCAAGAATCGTTTCATCGTCATCTTGCGAATTTAAATATCCTAAAAGCACAGCTAATACCAGAAACGTTAATACCATACAATCAAGTAAAATTAATAAGAAAACCAACAGAAAAATATCCTCAAAGTTCAGCCAATTTTAGGGTCTTTCAACATGAGCCACTGAGTCTCATTAATCAACAGATAACTGACTGGAGGCCCATTACTCCAGTAAATATTTTACATCAACAAAACATATATGCTAAACCTATAAAACAAACTGAACAACTGAACTTCGATCTACATCGAATCCGTGGAGGACAGAAAACACTACAACCTACCGTAAAGCATTCGACAACGCCAGCTCTAATAGTAGGTACCTTATGAAAAGGTCTCCCATCTGCATCCAGTTTCTGATGAAAATATTAAACATATTCAACAATTACCAGCCGTAAGAGATCAAACGCAAAACGATAAACAAAGTTTTAAAGGAAATGTATTTATAAATGTTGATAGTCAATATTTGCGTGATTGGAAAAATTAGATAAATTTTCATTTAATTTATAATAAATCAGAAGACTTGTTTAATATTATGTTAATTAGTTAAAAATGAGTATGTTGTTTCTGAGTGTATATATTTTAAGTTACCTTTAAATAAATGTTTTGGAGTGTATAATGTGGAGTGTGTACTCGTATATTTATTGTTTTCTGTCATTTTTCAAAATGTTTAAACACTTCCATATAATTTCAAAATATCCCTTTAATTACCAATCTAGTGGATATTATGAAAAGGATACAAGATGTAGATTTTTTGAATTTTAATAAGAATTAGTAAAAAAAGTCAATTTTCTTATAAAAACGCAAAATAACTTATAACTCACAGGGGTTGAGTTTAAGGACATTCCGTAAAACAATGTTTTGCAGCTGATGACCTCATTTATTCCCTCCACGACATTTTGGCCACTGTATATATGTCTAGAAAAATCGTAAAAATTAATAGCATAAATATGTAATTACAAAACATAAAAATATTTACTTCTAATTGTTACTATTCATTAGTCACACAATGAGTGTTGTAACATCGATGCGACCTACCTGCACTTGTGTAAAAAAAATATTGAACATATTCTTGGCAACTATTTTTTTATTTTATACAGCTAATTTTTAAATAGTTTCAAAACGATGTACCTACATTACTAACCTCTAAAATTTCTCACTAAGTGAACAATCACTTAAGAATTACATAATTCTTTGAGAAATAAAGTATCTTTGAACCGAACTTCAAAATTATAAATAATACTTGCGTTTACAAATTGTGCACTAAAGATAAATTTGACAGGTTTTTTTATATAATACGTTCACCACATACATGTCTAATTGCATATATATTGATACATTGCCTAAAAATTTTGATTAAATAAGTACCTTTGAAACCCACAATCCCTCTTATCCCTCAATCCCAATTAATTAAGTAATAGCATTTGAATAATGACAAAAATTACATAGAAAATCACCTTGTCGTATTTGTTTTACAAGAACCTAATACCGATAAAGATTAGCACATATCGCTCGATGTATCGTATTTGGTTTTTACATCTTAAACAATTCGTTTATAATCCTTTAATCTCTTGATAATGTATAAACTTCAAACTATTATCTTTTTAATTATGATACGTAATCGATTCCTCACATCCTCTATCTATATAAGCTCTCTATGTGCCTCAATTTCGAAATTCTCTTTGCACCATGAACGTCTTGATTGTCTTAGCAGCTATTGCTGCGTTAGCTGTTGGTGATGTAATCAGGGATATCCCTGAGTGGAGCACATCATGGAACTACATGGAGAGGATCGGTATCCCCGAAGCTGAGAGAATCAAGAGAGCAGAGGAGAAGTATCTGTCGTCGAGGATCGCCGGCGGATCTCCCGCTAAAATAGGCGAATTCCCATACCAGGTATTTAATTATGTTTAAAGACAAAAAATATACTTTGAATATCGTAGCTATAGTAAAAAAGTAGAATTTGTTTTATTCTTTCTCTGTATTGATATATTGATACAAATGTATTAAACTGATAATGCCTTGTAACAGTTAGCTGTTATGAAAATAATATATATGTTACTGTAAAAGCTCGAACTACGGTTAATCTTAAGATTTAAGTGTAAGTCTTAGGATTTACCGACACGAGTTGGTAAATGTAAGTATTTCTCAAAATACGACGATTTTTTCGAGCTTTTACCATTCGAATTCAGTATATGCTAGGTTTTACCACTGTCAGCTGGTAGATGTTGGTTTTAGGAATAAAACAATGAGTAATTCTTAAGTATTTACTTTAATGAACTATTAGACAAAACAGGTACATAGTATTATAAAGGTATCATATGATAGTAATAAGTACAAACTAATACCAACTTACTTAAATTATTTTGAAAAAAACACATAACGTATATCTCTGAATATCTCACCTACATAAGGTACCTAAAAAAAAACATTTCACTTGTTACAACACGGATTGCTATAGTGGCATTTAGAATTACAAAGTAATCCTGATGATCTGCAGGTGCATTTTTCTGTTTTTCAACATTTACCGTGCCATTAATATAAATCCTAAGATTTACCAACGGAATGGTGGTAAGAGTTCGAATCGCAAACCTTTTAGGACGTTTACCATTAGGAATTGGTAGATCTTAGGTTTTACTGGAATATCTTAGGATTTACTGCAGTTCGAGCTTTTACAGTAACATATATACTATATATATATGTGAGCCCCGTAACTCTCAAAGCCAAGGGACAATAACGTTTCCGTAATTGGTTTTCCTTGTCAAGCAGCCGACTGATCTTTACCATCCAATCCCAAGCAGTTGTATTTTCGTCGTAACTTGAACCCAGGGCCTTCAAATACACGCTTTACGCGAATGCCAATATATAAATATTTAGTCTTAATTATTAATCACAGGCTGGTTTGATTGGGGACATTAGAAATATTAACGGACAAGGTGTGTGCGGTGGATCCCTGATTTCAGCCAATCGCGTGCTAACTGCTGCTCACTGCTGGTTCGACGGATCCAACCAGGTTTGGAGGTAACTTGTATTCTATTGCGACTTCTGCTTTCTTACCTACCCCAAATCTTTTCTAATTATTGTGTTACTATAAATGCTAAAAATTAAGGTTAGTTTTGATAGTAGGTATTCTAGTAGAGGTATTTGTATTGCCACTTTTTTGGGTAAACGTCTCCCCCATATTTTTCCATTTCTCTTTGTCTTGAGCAACTTTCAGACAGTTTTTCCTCGCTAGTTCTTATCAGGGAATCTTGCAACAGATACATTACTGTATTGCATTCGTATAATTATTATATCGTCTTCTTAAAGAGGAAATCTACAAATGATACTAACAGTGGCAATAATGTTAACTGATCATTCAAATTTACTGCCAACAATATCTGTCTACACAAGAAATAGTACTAAAAAGTTAAATAAATTATTTATTATGTGTATTTTTCAAGATTTGAGGTAGTCCTCGGTTCTGTGCTGCTCTTCAGCGGCGGTACCAGGATCTACTCCGAAGACGTCGTTATGCACGCTAATTGGCAGCCGTCTCGTATTCGTAATGATATCGCCATAATACGTCTACCTGAAAGCGTCACTTTCTCGGGTAAGTTAGATCAGAACAATACCGAAGATAATTGTCATCTTAATGCGTTTTCATTAGAGAAAGAGAGAGAAGTTAATTAAATCCAAAAACACTCTTGTTAGTCGTACCTTAAAATAGTGAAGAATTTGTTGTGTGTGTATAAAATGTGGACATTCATGTAGCTTTTTAAAATGTGTTCAGATTTATCGCAATCTGTTTATTATTTACACAGATCAACTCTGTGTGTTTAATCTCAACGATTATACATTTAAGTATAATAATTTTATTAATAAGTTGATACAATATATTTTGTTAACAACTTACAGACACCATTTCACCGATCGCTCTACCTTCACCCCTGGACATCCATGACAACTTTGCTGGAGTGACAGCTGTGGCTTCTGGATACGGTCTTACTGGGGACAGTAAGTTATAAGTATATTTGCCGTACAAAAATAAAAACATTATTTGCTATCTTTCATCTTTTGAAATCTCAAGAAAAACTACATACAATTTCAGTTTTTTTTCATCTGGTAGCATTACAGTCACCATTCTGGTTCCAAACCTAAACAATTTATGACCAAAACTAAACTTAATTTCAATAATTTAATACAGAATACGCAAATTTAATTAATTTGACTTTCAGATACAGGCCTCTCCCGAGACCAATTCTTGAGCGGAGTCTCAGTGCCAGTGATCACTAACGAAGTCTGCCGCAACTCCTACCCTCTTAATGTAGTCGATTCCAACATTTGCATCAGTGGTGCTGGTGGAAAAAGCACATGCCGTGGTGATTCTGGTGGTCCTCTCGTTGTCACAAAGAACGACAAAAAGATCTTGGTATGTATTCTTTAACCGTTTTCAAGACCTAGCTGCCTAGCTACCGGCTGCTATAAAAGAAGCCTCGGAACGTGCCAATGTGTTTCGCAAATAAGCTCATTTTTCCACAACATGCTACCTAACCAATAATAATGGCACCAAGATTTCAATTTTGAAGGGCCGATAAATATTAAAAAAACCTATTATAAGGTTAAAGATTATTTATTTTAGTGTTCCATTTATCTATTTTTAATTATTAATATGTAGGTTACGAATAATTTAAATATATTTACGAGGATAAGTTTCCCTACAATGTCCCGTAATGTAATATTAAATGTTAGGAGGCAAAAAGAAAGGATTATCAAAATTTACTGTACAATGCAATTGTGTATTAAATAAAGTTATTATATAACTAATATTATTCCTTTTTCAGATCGGTATTACCTCTTTCGGATCAAGATGGGGCTGCACTATTGGCTTCCCAGCTGCTTTCGTCAGAGTCACATCTTTCTTGGACTTTATTAATAATAACTTGTAAATTTAATGTTATAAAAGTATACGGAATAAATGTGATTTAATTTAAATTTACGTTCGTTACTGAAAAGCCCATCTTTATACTACTTGAAACTTTTGTCTCTTCAAAAATCTTGGCACCATTCATGGCCAATAATTATTTTTATATGGATATATCATTGCAAGCATTATGATGTATATTTCTAATGAATTTAAATTTGGTTTGTCAGACCTTGAAACCAGGGCCATTACTCTGTAACTTCCAATAGCGACAGCGATACCGATCCCGAAGTAAATCGATTTAGTTCCACAACAAAAACTTATTATAGATCACTGTACATATCGGTATTGGAGTTACAGAGTAAGGACTCAGATTTTAGTTATATTGACTTACACAGAAGTAATTAAATGATAAATGATTTATTTCTGTAAGTAGGTTTTTAGGCTGCTGCCTCGAATTTTGCGGGCAGCGGGGCGGCAGCAGCTGCGGCGCGGGAGCGAGGCGGCCAACGCATACCTGTTCTCCAAACCAGCGGGCAGATCGCGCGGCACTATAGCGGTGTAGTGTTGTGTTCGTGGTTGTGTTGTCGAGATATTTGTTTTTATTCGCGAACGAAATGTCTTGACGTCTTATCAAGCACAATATATACTTACGTGAAAAATTCAAAAAATATTTTGTAAATAATCACATTAGTTACTAATTAATTTGTAAAACATAATAAATATATATAAATTGTATTTGACATAATAAATCATTTTTATATTAACCTTCAATATTCAGTTCGTTTTTTTATTTCTTCCCATAATTGGTTAATTATTCTTCTATTTTTATGGTTAACATCTTTGCTGTTCCATATGGGTCTCCTCTCAAAGATTGCCGAAATAATTTGCTCTTGCACGTCCGAGGACATTTTGTTACGTCACAAAAAATATGTACAGCACTATACTACAATGCAGACGCGCAACGCGAGCGGTCACCGCTTGACTGGATTGCACCGCTCGTTACCCGCCCTCGCGCCGCTGCCACGCCGCTGTTTTCGAGAACCGGTCCATTTGATTTTACGCATAAGATCCTGCAGCTCCCGCGCCGCCGCCGCCGCCGCCCCGCTGCCCGCAAAATTCGAGGCAGCAGCCTAACAAACACTTTTACACGTCAAACATTTTTTTTTTAAACTACTGATGAGTAACTGATGAGATCGATTTCATTTCAAATTCAAACTGGACATGAATCCAGATTGAAGTTCGATCGAATCTTTAGAAAAACAATCAAATTTAACTATTACGATTATATTGAAAAATATACATATTATAATTTCAAGAAATCATCGTGGCCCGTGATGTGATCTCATTTTTTTTATGATCGAAATATCACATTTTACTTGATCAATTTCAAGTTTTCCAATCTTTAAAAGAAATGGCCAGCTAAATATTTCCATTAGAACTTTAACGTATATCATATTTTATTAAATTAATTGTGCGTAACAACATCAAATAGATTAATCAAAATAATTGTCATTAATATCATATGTTAATCAGCGAATTAAATATGTGTTAATTCATAAAACGTTGATTAGATAAATTGATAATTTTAAAGTATTATTATAATCCTTATTGGATTATTTAACAAAATTGTATTTTAGGTATATTCGTTCAGTGATTCACTTGTTAATAATTATAAGATACAATATTCACGTGTCCAAGATATAACAATGTAAAGGGAGGGCAAACTTGCTAAGTTTCTTGCCCGTTCTTCTCAGAACAAGGCCTCCTGGTAGTTTTGCGAACGGATGGCGTAGTCTTGCTCTTTCGTGAATTTTGTAAACGTTGTTGACATTTATAAGCATGCTCTAAGAAGCATCTAAATTGAATAAACGTATTTTGATTTTGAACAATCTTATCATGCATTATGTTAATAAGTTCGTTTCGTTCGTTCGTTTGCCCCCGCGAACTTTTTTAGTAGCTACAACATATGGAACCTTTTAGCTAGGTACCTCAGAAATACTCTTCGCTTTTCCGGAATAAAAACCTAAGTGCTTAACATATTTTGCGATTCATTTTTCTTTATATACCTAGATGAATATTTTTTTATTATATATATATATATATATCTTGCAATTCTGTTATGAAGACATTCAGCAAGAGATTTAATTTGGCTTGAGCGGTGAGTAGTCAGTGACTGTCACCGTGACTTTTGTCTCACAAGAGGTTTCTAGGGGCTTTTCTCTTAACAAGTGAGTAAGTAAGTTCCTTTGCACCAAGTGCGTAGTCAAAAAGTTTTGATGACTTTATTGATATTATGATTTCATAAAATTGTTAATTGTTATCTTCATAGTTTTAACTTTTAGGTTGTGGTGTCCATTCGTTGGTTATGAACCAAGGAGCGCTAGTCCTGAGAATTTTTGGAAGCGGTTCCTCATACCATGATACCGGATGTCCAAATTGGTGGTTTTAGATGTTTTTGGATAAATAGTTGTGATTTCTCTATTGACCAGATAATTTAATATCTAATTTATAATTTTGAATCATCCTTTGTAAGACACCCTTTTAAGTACCTATAGACTTATTTGGGTGTTAGCAAATTTTACAACCTCAATTTTTATTGTATAAGTAAGGAAACATAATTTATATAAAATTTGACAAACGACGGTAAGAAATATTTAAAATTTAAGATAGCGTCTAAGGATTTGGCATAGTTAGTAATAATTGAATTTGCCGGAATTCCTCTATTTGATTTATTTTGTTTGGAAAACTAACAGTAAAAACGTGTCAATGTATTGTTATTGTGTTGTTCACGTTCTTAACCACCATTTATTAATGATTTAAAGATGAATCAGTCTTAAAAAAGCACTTTATCTTGTAGAATTAAGCAAAACGTATCGTGTTTTAAATAACATAGATAGGTACATCCGGTCAATAACAAATCTACGCTAAAAAGATTAGATTTTTTGTAAATACAAATTATGTATGAAATAATCTACATGTATGTTTTTGTATTTACCTACAAGATTATTTTCTTAATTTAAAATTTATGTTTCCTATACAATACTAGGAAGGAAGGACTACAGACTGATTTGCTATAATAGAGTTCCAAATAAAAGTTTAACAAGGTTTGACTGCGGTGGTTCGGTCGGTGCCGGAGACCGCTAAAAGTCCGTCCTGACGTATTCCTTATAGTGTATGTTAAAATATGTAAGTTAAGGTACAGGCCTGTTGGCTGACCTATATTAAATAAATAAATATATCGAACTTAGAAAAAAATTAACATGTGGCAATTGAATATTTATTTATTCACAAAAATACATAGGTACCTTATGTGATAAGTCAATAAGTAAATACATAGGATACACAAAATCGGTACTGTGGCTTTTCCAGACAGGCACGACCTTCAGTAATAAAGTTTGCGAAGAAGATGTAGTTGTAATAATCAATACTAGCACAAGTAGTAGTAAATTGGTTCAAAAATAAAATATTGATTATATTTAAATATAACAGTACCTAGTCCAAACTAGTCGCTTAAGCTAAGCTACTAAAATCGATTAGTAAATAATACGTATTAATTATATCGTCGTATCTTCAATATTATCACAATTACCGATATCGAATAACCTATAAAAGATGACTTTACAATTAATTTTTTAAACATTCAAAATGAAATTGTTCGTGGCTTTGCTTATCCTGCCTTTTGCATGTGCAAACAGTTTAGATGACTGGTCTCCTTACGGATACATTTCAAAATACGCGATCCCATTTGCAGAGAAACTTCAAAAAGCTGAAGATGCTGCCGTAAACAACCTCTCTGGAAGGATTGTAGGAGGTGAAGCTGCTCAGCTTGGAGACCATCCCTATCAAGTGAGTATGAGAAAACAGACATCTCAAAGCGACACCATAAACAAAAATCATTCAGTATATTACGCTATGTGTTTTTGTATTTAATCGTTCTAGGAAACAATCAAAATCAATGATCAATAGTAACTTTACTATTTTTCGTCTGCCCTTTTATTTTACAATAATATATATTTAAATAAATCCTCTCAAACGGATATCAACAGAAATTTATGACATTACATAACTCGGCGTCAGTGTCTACTTCAGCTGAAAATCACTCGGAACGTTGAGTCATGTAAATCATATTATCATAAATTTACGTAGGTATATTGATTTTGGAAATGCAAACATACATATATAAACATAGATAAATCGATGCCATGTTTCTAGCCTTTAATTTTTTTTTGTATTAATAATTAATTGAAATATGTATTGGTAGAGTTAGATATGTTGCATGATATAGGGTGGGTAACAATAAATGTATTTGTGTAGCCCCGTCTCACCCATAAATATTATGAGCATATTTCTGTAGTTATCACCTGGACCCGGCGGGAGACGCCCACCCTTCAGGTTAATAAAGTCCCTTTTTAGGAAAGGGGAGATTTTGACCCACCCCTGATGCTTAGCAGTTCGGTCACATATCTGACTGATTGCGTGCCTGATAGGCTATGATGTAGGGGTCCCTGTTTATAAAAAAAACTATAAATGATTTAATTACTTAGGCTGGCATGATTTCGGATATTGTCAATATGACGGGACGTGGCGTTTGCGGAGGTTCACTGCTTTCTGCCAACAAAGTACTAACGGCTGCCCACTGTTGGTACGATGGTCGCAACCAAGCCTGGAGGTTCACGGTCGTTCTTGGTTCCGTATACATTTTCGATGGAGGACTGAGGATCCACACTTCAGATGTGAAAACGCACCCATTGTGGTTCCCATTACTGGCCCGCAATGACGTTGCTATGGTTACTCTTCCAGAAAACATTGCCTTTACAGGTAACTTAAACTATAATATAACAAAGACAATTGTAACTAATATATTAAAGTAATTTCTTAACTTCTTTATAAAGAATGATCTCATTACTGCACTAGAAAACCTGACCTAAAGTTATTTTTAGAATTTGTATGAGTATTATACAAAAATACTGTCATGTGTAAGATATAAATATTTCAGATTATATTAGCCCTGTGTCTCTACCAAATGTTCTGGAAAGTTTTGAAAACTTCGCCGGTGAACAAGCCACAGCATCTGGATATGGATTAACTGTATCAGGTCAGTGTGTCTTTGTATTTATTGTTATAACTTTATTTATTTAAGTATAAGACGTCAAAACCGAATATATTCAAATCCTTTAGTCCCATATACGTAACTTGATTAATATTATGCAGTATTCATGTAATTATGTAAGAGAATCTACAATATATAATCTACAAAATTGTGCAGAAAACTCACTGATGCTCGATGGAGAACCCTTTCCTTATAGTCGGTTAAAAAATATAAAATTGAAGTAGAGCATCTTTCAAACGGTTGGGAGGAATAGTGGGGCGCGTCTTCGTAGACACTATCTGTAATTTCGCTCTATATATCTTATCAAAATAAAATAAAAACAACGTGTATTACATATATATAAATAAATTAAGTTTCGTTTGCTCTAATGAGGTAAGCGAAAATAACTAAGTCCCTTGCCTTTCGTATGGCCCTTCACTTGAGACATGACCGACGTGCTTGAGATTTTTAGGTACACCACCGCACATTCACAATTGAGTGCCTTGTCTATAATTATCATCATTACTATAAATACATTTGAAGTGGATATATTTCAGGCGGAAACCTTTATCAGAATCAATCTCTGAACCACGTCACTCTCCGAGTACTTTCCAATGACGTTTGTAGTGCATTCTTCCCTATACATGTGGTCGATTCAACGATTTGCACCAGCGGACTTGGAGGAACTAGTACCTGCCAGGGTGACTCTGGTGGACCCCTTGTAGTTCAGAGAGGCGAGAGGCGTGTGTTGGTAAGTATATTTTTCTGGTGAGGTTTAAATTCTACAGTCATGGAAATTTTGAACATCATCAACATTAAGTATTTAGATTATATCTTTGTTGGTGCAAGAAAATATCTATGGGATATCTATTAGTGTGTTAGGCAGATTCGTTATACAATATAATATACACTGACGGACCCATAAACTGCATCAAAGTAAAAAACGACTTTGAAATAAATATTTTAACCAAGTATGCAAACTTTCTACACAGATTTAAATTGAATCGTCTAGATTGGTTCGTTAACTTTAAAACAGCGTTTGGTCATATCCTTAAGTTTAAGTTTTTGTACTGGAAAGGACCTTAAAACTTTTTTGATGAAAAACAGAAATTTAAAGAAAATTGGTTTAATTAAAAAAATGGTTTTAACAATAGACACAAGCTTTATGCAAGGTTTTTTTTATGTTTTAGTAAGGTGAATGTACCACGTGCCCTTATTATGGATTCTAATCGGTTCCGCATAGATTTGATTAGGGTTATTCAAACAACTTGCGGAATATTGTCCCACTCTTCTGAAAGTGCTGTTCTTAGTTGTGCCACTGTCGTAGGCACAGGATTTCTCGCATATACCTACAGCTCTTTTTAAATTGTCCCAAAGATGCTCAATGGGATTAAGATCCGGGCTGCGTGTTGGCCAATTCATTGTATGTATCCCAACCTCTTCGCAATATTGTCGAACTTGTGCAGCAGCGTGCGGCCGGGCATTATCCTGCATTAAAGTAAAATTTTTGCCTATAAATCCCATGTAAGGCACCACGTGATCTTCTAAGATCTCTATTATGTAGCGATGTGCAGTCAAACCCCCTCTACTACCGTTTTGACGGACCATGTCTATGAACACAAGTTCTGTTCGACCGTTCATCGATATGCCACCCCAGACCATGCACGAACCGCCTCCAAAAGGAACACGCTCCTTAATGCAACTTTGAGCATATCGCTCCCCACGTCGACGATAGACTCTTCTGCGACCATCTGCACCATATAAACATGTCCTACACTCGTCTGTGAACAATACGGAGGCCCATTGCTCATCTGTTGCACCTTAATTGTTAGGTGATCACGCCCAAATCTTAAGCGAGCTTGTCTGTGAGCTACAGACAACTTTGGACCATTTGCTGATATAAAAGGGGTGATATTATACGTTAGTGCACGAACAATACGTGCACTCACGTTTACGTTTGATGTTAACTGACTCACAAACGATTTCGCAGGGAAGTTGTAACAATAAACCGGTCATCACGACCGGTGGTTGCTCGAGTTCTGCCTGTACCACGTCTCCTTTTGTAAGAACCTGTCTCCACAAACCTTCTGTATATTCTAGAAACCGTAGACTGGTTTAAATTTAAATTTCTACCACTCGTTCGTTGATCCAAGCCCTCCCGCACCAATGCTACAATTTGAGCAGCTTGTTCGGACGAAGTATTCATATTATGGCTCAGAAACTCTCTTAAAAAGCTAACCCAACAATTCTGCTGGTAACAATAATTAAATTTTCAAAAGAATAAAAAATCAATAAGAATCAATTTTAAAAAACACGCAAATCTGATACTACGAGTAAATTTTCTTTTCCCGGCTATATTCATTTGTTTTACTGCAGTTCTATTTTTAAATATTGCTTTTTTTAAGATTAAGGGCCAGTCTCTCCATATTTATATAATTTATTCTAAAAAGTTTGCATACTTATTAAAAAAATCATTTCAAAGTAATCCTGAAGTTTGATGCAGTTTATGAGTCCGTCAGTATATATTTTTACAACGGTAATAACGATTAAAATCTTTTCCAGATTGGTGCCACGTCATTTGGTATCGCTCTAGGCTGTGATATTGGCTTCCCCGCTGCCTATGCTAGAGTAACCTCCTTCCTCAACTTCATCAACGAAAACTTGTAATGATGCAAGCTGTCTCAAAAAACACAAATAAAAAAAATAACATTTATGGCTTTGTTATTCAGCACCTATAAATTTTAACTCTAAATTCAATTTTAAATAAAATATGGAATTATGTAACTTCAAAATTCCTGTATCAATAAAGATGTCCATGTAATGGATGTAGCCTTTAAGAATAATTATAATTTGTACCATAAAAGGGTTTTTTCTTTAATGTTTAACAATAATAGTAAATATTATAAAAACGTCTTACCTCATGAATTAGTGTAGAATTACTATCTAAAACAGCTAACAGTTAATACCAAAATCTTCAAACGAAAAAGATATTGAGAATATTGATAAGATATAATCTATGATAACTGACACTACAAAAATAAACTGTTTACAGATCTCTTATAAAAGTATTGAGAAAATTTATATTGATTTCTTTTGTTAATTGTATCTAATCAAGTGACAAACATTAAGTGTCGACACGGTTCTATTTACATACTTCAAGCCTTTATCTGGTCACTAGACTTATAAATACATGGTTTTACTTTTAACGAATCACTCGGCAGAAAAATGCAACTGGTAATTGTATTATTAGCTTTGGTTTCTATCGCCTTTGGTGCGGGTGTACCAACATGGAATACCGCGTATGGTTACTTGACAAGGTTTGGGATCCCAGAAGCTGAGAGAATTCTAAAAGCTGAAGAATCCATAAATGAGCTGGAACAAGTAACCAGAATATCTGGAGGGGTACCAGCTGCACTTGGGCAATATCCTTATCAGGTAAGTTATTTCACGTATTTAGTTGTTGTGGACTTAAAAAGTGCAGATGGTATGTTGGGCTCCAACCTAGCGCTGTAATCCCTCAAAAGTACCACGCAATGATCACTAAAACCTAACTGCGGTTTCGGCCGGTAGCGAGAACTGCAAGGTTTAGGGTAAGGCTTGGCAAGTCTAACCAATGGTTAAAAACTGTACACAATATGTGCACAGCCACATGCATCAGCCATGTGGTCGTGTACACATAAAATTATTAAATTGATAAATTTTTCCCAGGCTGGCATCATATCTGAGATAAAAAACACCGAAGGTCGCGGCATGTGTGGTGGCTCCTTGGTCTCGGAAACAAAAGTCCTTACAGCTGCACATTGCTGGTATGATGGTAAAAACCAGGCCTCGAAATTGACTGTGGTCCTGGGATCAGTGTATCTATTTAAGGGAGGTATCCGGCTGGAGACAACAGATGTTCAAACTCATCCACATTGGTCACCGTTATTGATTCGTAATGATATAGCTATGGTAACACTGCCACAAAAAGTAGCTTTATCAGGTGAGCATTTTCTTTTGCTGCTATTTCGTGTTATGTAAAAATTTCGTTAATATGTATTTATAAATAGTAGGTACACGGGACCGATTATTTTTAAATAATAAAAAAATCTGTACTAACATGAAATAATTATGACCAATTTAATTCAATCCTGGCAGATACTGTAGCTCCGATCGCTCTACCGAGTGAAGTACAGGCTGGTGAGACCTTTGTTGGAGCCTTCGCTGTGGCCTCGGGTTATGGAATCACTTCCAATGGTAAATATTAATTTACAATTGAATGCTTTTTCTTTTTGTGCTGATATGGTATGTTTAAAAGTCTGGCTCTGATGAAGCAATCAATTTTTGCGTAAATTTTGGCGATACATTAAGATAAGTGAGTACTCTGAACTTCAGAGTACCACTGAGGTGTAATTACTAAGCCACGTAAACCACGATAACAAAATATTTAAAAAAAAATATTGTCATTTTAAATACTCTTTTTTTACCTCAGCCTTGTAGATTAGTTTAGATGTAAGATTGATTTCATATACTAAATTAAATTGTTGTTACAGATGAAAAAGTCACTACAAACCAAAGTCTTAACCACGTACGTTTGCGTGTGATCACTAGAGCTGTATGCTCTATGGCTTTCCCGTTCATCATCCAGGAGTCACATCTGTGCACCAGCGGGGTTGGAGGCGTTAGCACTTGCGGTGGAGATTCTGGTGGACCTTTGGTGGCCGGTGACGGTGGCTCACGAATCTTGGTAAGAATTATAAAAGTAATACTCGTATTTGACACATTCAATTGTATGTTTATTATATTTTGTTCGCTGATTTTACGTCGTTAAAAAAAGGTAACCATTTCCGCACTGAGAGGGACGAAAAGTATCTTTTTCATATAAAGTGAAACATTACAAATTTTACCGTCGTAATAAGCTTCCTCTTAGATATCTGTAAGTTGATACAATAAAAAACTCTAATACTAATTTATTTTGCTTACAGATCGGAATAACATCATTCGGATCATCTTTGGGCTGCCAATTTGGTCTTCCCGCAGCCTATACAAGAGTATCATCGTTTTTAGATTTCATAAAAGGAAAACTTTAAATGGCGATACACCAAGAGCTTTTGTTTGTAATCTAGAAAAATGTAAGGATTTAATATGTGATTTTTAAACGTATCAAAATTAGATTCTACTAAAATAATAAAAGAAAATAATATAAATATATTCGTAAATGTGTTTTTTTATTATACGATAAGTAATTTAAACTGATTACGATAGATTTAGGTAGTTATATAATATCAAACCTATGTAAAATAATTATCGATAAATTATTTATTTGCACGTTCAACGTTATACTAGTATCTACTGTATAAAATTATTTATTTTCGCAGACTATGCAAGCCATATAGGTACATATATTTATACAACACTGGTAAACAATACCTTGTTTAGTTTACTAACCAAAGATTACTGACAAATCACAATGCATCTAAGAATTGCTACTAACTCATTAAACAAAATGTGGTGGAAATAAGTTACTATTATTATTTTTCAGTCAACAAAAAAAAATCCCGAATAAGAAATTTACAACACGCTTATGTTCTTGAGACTGAAGTAATATCTATTTTTAGACCTGCATCTGCTTAATCAACGTATTGTGTGCATACCTACATGATATTATAGAGTTTATCTAACTTACTGATCAAAAGATATTATACCTACCTCTTCTATTGTTACGTTACATCGTTACTTTGTCGAGCACAGATTTTTGCTTCGCGTTATATTTAATGGTATTGCAACATCTTTCCTTTACTGACAGGGTCGTTATAAATAAGAAACAATAAGATGGTAAAGTAATGTATATTTTTAAACTTTGTCAGAACGTAAGTTTCAGAAAAGAGACTTAGCGCTAACTATTTACTATGATTCCCGTATGTCAAAATCCAACACATACTGTTATGCGGGAATTATTGAAGACTTGTTAGCTTACAACAGAAGCGCTATTTATATTTTAATTATTAAATACAATAAGTATAAATAAAATATGAATTATGTTGATTTGCTATTCAAATAACTTTCAGCGGTAATAGTAAAAAAAATGATAATGGGATTAAAAATACATCTAAGTATATTGATTATAAAATCAGCAAATTTTATCATACTAATTGTAGCAATTGTTATACAATTGTAGAAACCCTAACATTTATTGTAATTAATATTTGTTTATTTAGACGTGCAGATGCATATTGTATCTAAATCAGTAGGTTATACTTTATTCAAATAAATTACCCTTCAGCCCTACAACTAATGTAGTCTATGCGGAAAGAGAACCACCGTGGGGTTGGAGATTGCAGCAGTACTAAATTTTCTTTTTTGTTATTTTGATACTTTATATGAAGTAATATATACTAATTGTGAATAAATTAAATGACGGGTAACAAATAAGATTTTTATTAATTTGTGTAACCACTGCCCCGGTTTTGCACAGACTCTATTATTAATAAATTCAAATATATTACTATGGCAAAATGCAAATTGGTCATACTATTTGTGCTATAGTAGAAGTATAACACAATTTGAAATTCAAAAACAATAAGAGGCTACAAAGTTATATTATTTTTAGTAACTAAAATATTATAAATTACTTACCTCATATTTAAAAATCCTTGTTGTATTTAATAAAAGTCTATGGTAATCCTTTAAGTATAGTCAGTGCATTTCACGTTGTATGACAATTTAAGTCTGAACTTGACAGCATGACTGGATAGTATTTTGACAGCTATACAAATTACAAATCGCATTCCCAGTCTATTGAATCTTGGGTGATTTTTATTCAGTTATTTTATTACATTGAATTTCGTTTAATAATACTAATTATATTGCTAAAATGGAAGAAATTGGGATAATACTACCCGAAAAGGTACAGGTGAACAACTGATTATTCGTCATAAGAATTTTAATGCTGTTTTAGTTGAAAGGTAACAATAAAATTTTCTTTCTCAGGATGATCAAGTTACTGATACTAAAGGGTTGGTGTTTTCTGGACCTCAATCATTCGATGAGCTAGAATCCGAAGACCTTTACACCAAATACAAGGTAATCTACTTAATATGATAGTCATATTACTATTCGAATTTTGATGTGCTTGTGATCTAATTTTCCATTGTAATAGTTCTGAGGTTTAAAGAAGTTTATTCTCATAAAAAATCTGCATGTCACATAAGAGAAAAAAATATTAAGACAAAAAGTAAAGTTATTAAAAAAAATTTACTTTGTATTGTATTTAAATATAAATATTTTGTGTAATAGAAACTCCAGCGTATGTTGGAGTTTCTTGAGGTGCAAGAAGAATATATCAAGGATGAGCAGAGGAATCTCAAGAAAGAATATTTACATGCTCAAGAAGAGGTTAAAAGAATACAGTCAGTCCCACTTGTCATTGGCCAGTTTCTTGAAGCTGTTGACCAAAATACAGGAATAGGTAGGTCATATTGCATTTAAACAAGGAAGGCTATCTATAAACTAAGTTATGAAATATAGAGTATTTTTATATTTTGTTAGAATTTTAGTTAAACTTTACAATGGCATTATGATAGTGTATTTTTTTGTTGTAATTAATTTCCAAGTTTACAGATAATGGTTTTTGTGTTTATCTAATAGTTTTTTAGACAAAGGAAGGAAACAAATACAAAAGAAATGAAGACATTAATTTGAATTAGTATTCTAAAAATTTATTTGAGATTATAAATCTTGATATAAATATTGCAACATATAAATAAGAATTTTTTCTTAGTTGGGAGCACAACTGGATCAAATTACTATGTGCGGATTCTGTCAACCATAGACAGGGAACTACTGAAGCCATCTGCCTCAGTGGCACTCCACAAACACTCTAATGCACTAGTGGATGTACTTCCACCTGAAGCGGACAGTTCTATATCTATGTTACAAGCAGGTACTTTAGCATAATTTTTATTTCTTTGTTATTTTATAGTGAAGACTCAAACATTGCAACTTCTTTAAAATAATTGGCTCTTAAAAGTAATAAGTGAATAAGAAGATAAACTGATAGACAAAATGTGCCATCCTTTTTCACATATTTTATGTTGGGTCATGACAGAAATCTCGATTAACGATCCTTTTGAATGAAGTCCTATGTGTATAAAGTTGTATGTTGTATATGATATTGTATGTTTATATACTTGCTGAGAAATATTGCTAAAACATTTACAGATGAGAAGCCAGATGTCCAATACTCAGACATCGGAGGCATGGACACCCAAAAACAGGAAATAAGAGAAGCTGTAGAACTGCCCTTAACACATGTAGAGCTGTACAGACAGATTGGTATTGAGCCACCCAGAGGGGTGCTTATGTATGGACCACCTGGTTGTGGAAAAACTATGTTGGCTAAGGCTGTTGCTCACCATACTACAGGTTTGTTGAAGTAAAAGTTTAGTTAGAGTTATAGTTTCGAGAAACAAAAACGTAATACATGCTTGGGTCTCTTTTTGTTTCGGTACCTTTGTAAGTTATTGATGATGGTGGTTTTGTATTTTGAAATAACCTTAGTTATTTTACAGGAAATCATTCTATTATGTTGTTCTCTTATTTATTTATTATTATTATTATAGCTGTATTTATTCCAAACTCATTAAGGTACAAAAAAGAAGTAAGAATATTTTATATGTTAGTAATATGTAGTAATCTTAATCTATGTTAGTATGTGTAACATTAGTATATTCAAAGTTTGGATCCCATCTGGGTAAAAGCCTCCTCCATTTTTTTCCATTTTATTCCATTTGTAGCTGTAGTAATCCAGTTTCTGCCTGCTACTTTGACTATGTCATCCACCCACCTTTTTTTGGGTCGACCTCTGTTTCTCTTACCAAGTGGACCAGTCCATTTTGTAGTTTGTACAGTCCATCTTTTGTCGATGTATCGAGAGATATGTCCTGCCCATTGCCATGCCATTCATTCTTAAGGCGTGCCTAAGAGCATCAGTTAGTTCAGTTCTTTGAATTTTTCTAGGAGTTGTTCAATGGTATGTATGTGATCTATTGTAGAAAAGCTAGAGCGGAAGCCTGCCTGTTCTATTGATTGTCTCTGATCTATTTTTTCTGTTATTCTACTTAGTAACAATGCTGAAAATAGTTTATATAGGGCGGACAGTAAGCTGACAGGCCTATAATTACCAATATCCTTAGGATCTCCCTTCTTATAGATTAATATAATTTCAGATTGGCACCATTGCTGTGGAGCTTTTCCTGATTTGAGAACCATGTTAAGTAGATTGTTTAAAAATGGTGCTATTAGGAATGCTCCTTGTTTCAAGGCTTCATTGCTGATGTTATCTGATCCTGGGCTCTTGTCATTTTTCAATTTCTTTATGTGTTTTAGAATTTCAGATTCGGTCACTTCTTTTATTTCAGTTCTTGTTCTTTGTTGAGCATATATAATTTCATGTATATTATTTTCTTCGGTTGGCTTTCAATATAGTTCTGAATAGAATGCTGTGGCACATTTAATTAAATCTTGTCTAGTCTTTGTTTTGCCCTGGTTAACAGCTAGATTTTGTATCCAGTTTTTATGTGTTTTTAATTCTTTATAAGCTCTTTTTGTACTTCTATAGGTTGTTAGGTTTCTCTCAATTACTTTTCTTCTATGGGTGTTGTAGTCTTCTCGAATTGCTTTATTGGTCTTTTTGTAAACTTCTTTTAGCTCTTGTTTCATTTCTTTGGTTTTGTTCTGTGTTGCTGTTAGTTTCGTGCGTTTGTTTATTAGTTCTAATGTAGTATTTTGAAATATTTTATGTTCATTATTTTTGTGTTTTCCTTTTATTCTGAGGCTAGATAGTATTGTCTCTTCTAATACGTCGTAGTACTTTTGGACATCTTTCAGACTGTTTAGATATTCACTTGTATTTGACAGTTTCTTTTCTAGGGTTTTTATGTATTTGTCTATCTCGCATTCGGATTTTGGCGTTGTTGTTAAAGGTTTAAAAGTTTTTCTGCTCAATTTCGGTTTTTCTATTATCAAGGAGGCTCGAACAAGTCTATGGTCTGATGAGAAGTTTAGATTATTCACAATTTCAAGGTTGATAATATTTCTCGGTTTATTGCTCATAATAAAATCTATCTCATTTTTGGTTTTGCCATCTGGTGAACACCATGTCCATTTTCGATTTTCTTTTTTTTTTAAAGTAAGTATTCATTATTGATAGTTTGTTTTCGTAAGCATATTGTAATAGTCTTTCTCCTCTTTGATTTCTATTACCGTATCCATATTGTCCCAATATCAAGTGTTCATTATCTTTTGGTTGTCCAATTTTAGCATTAAAATCACCTAACACTAGCACATTTCTATCTGCAAGGGCATGAGCCCTGCTTAGGTCATCATAGAATCTTTCGATTTCTTCATCATCGGATTGCGCTGTGGGAGCATATACTTGTATGAGTGATATAGCTTCTTTTTTGAGTTGTAATTGAAGTAGGCTACTCTTTCGGATAATCCAGAAAAGTTAACTATCGAGTCTCGTAGTTCTTTCTTTATTAAAAAGCCTACTCCATTGAGGCCTTTTGTTTCGCCTTTAAAGCAGAAGATATATTTATCGTGTTCTTCTATCTCGCATCCAATTTTTCTTACTTCTGCTAGTCCTAAAATATCGTAGTTTACTTTTAGAAAGGGCTTGTGTCAGTTCCAGAAGGCGTGTAGGTGATGCTAGTGATCTTACGTTATAAGTACAGATCTTTAAAATGTTGCAGTTTTGGTTATCTCTACTATGTTGGCGATTGGATTCATCGATTTTATCTTCATTTGGAGGGTAGTGGTCTCTTACCCCACGGTGACCAGCCGGGTTGGGGAGATAATTGTTTTCGAAGAGTGTGTTATTGTCAGTTGGTTCCTTTTGTTTTCCAGTTGGTATTGTATTAGTGTTGTGTATTGTTGATTTCTTCAGTGCTTCTGGCTTGCTATTCTCTAGGGCGAAACGGCTGATCTATTTTGTTTATTTTTTTGGGTGCTCTTATTGTTTCTACCAAACTTTGATTGTCAGTGGCTGATGGTGATTCAGTTGGGGACCGTTTTCTCTTTGTTTCTAAAGGTGCTTTTCCCTTAACAATGAGTTTGTTATACCGAATAAAAGCAATTTTTCCGTTTTTTTCTTCTTGTTCATTCCGTTGTCTCAGTTCCTTTCTTATTTGGATAATTTCTTTCGGGTAATCTTCGGTTACATATATATTTGTCGGGAAATTTTTATTATTTTTTAGAAGATCATATTTCCGCAAATTTAAAGCAAGGGTTATAAGTATCGGTCTCTTTTTGTCATTCATTTTCTTGCCTAGCCTTCTCATGTTGCTGATCTCCCATTGATCCCACTCCCGCATCCCATCAGATCTTAAACTGGTTTCATTCAGCACTTCTAACACATTTTTCCAGAGCTCACTTGTACTATGTTCATTTTCTGCCATCCCGTGTAATATTATGTTATCTTTTCTCACTTCTCTCTCAAGATTTTGTATACGTGCATGGGAAGCTTGGAGATCTTGTTTCAGCTTTTTGTTATCCTCAACAAGTGGGCTTAATTTTTTGTCTATTGTTTGCAAAAGACTTTTGTTAAAATTTTCAGCTAGTTCCTGTGTTTGTTTTTTGAAGTCTAGTTTCATTTCCTCCATTTTTTCTAATATAATTTTCAGTTGGGAATCCATTTTTACAGGTAACTTGCAATGGGAAAATGTTTCTCCTCCTATTTATTTATTAACTTTTCTTAAATTTATTTACAATAATGAACATGATGAGTTGCAGGTGCTTGCAAACATTTTGTTGACCTACAACATGGCAATTAATAAATAATATTTGGATTTGATTTGAAACATTTATCTCATCAGGTTTTCCAGCAGCTATTCAGATTATGCATAGCAAAAGTACACTTGGGCAAAGTTTTCTAGTTTATTTTAATTTTCAGCGGCATTCATCCGCGTGGTTGGTTCAGAATTTGTACAAAAGTACCTTGGTGAAGGACCACGTATGGTCAGAGATGTCTTCCGTCTCGCTAAGGAAAACAGCCCTGCTATTATATTCATCGACGAAATTGATGCTATTGCTACTAAAAGGTATAGATACTACCCAGAACAAAGTTACACTTTAATACAATTCTGTCTTCCCGAGACAGTTCTTATTTTTTAGTTTTTTTACCACATATATGCCAAATAATAATTATACTTACTTACATACTATTTATATCTGCTTAAAAAATAAATACATTCATCTCTGTCTTCCCAAACTTGTCACAAATATATCCAGTTCTAATGCAGAGCTAAGGAAACGGTTAAGTAGCGAAAATCATATGTGGACTTGGTGACTGCTGATCGAGGACAGCATCACCTTAATTGCTTTTATAGTTAGCAACTTTTGAATGTTATATAATATTAGCAATTTTCATTTTATAATTTCACTATAAAGATTTGACGCACAAACTGGAGCTGATAGGGAGGTGCAGAGAATCTTGCTGGAACTCCTAAACCAAATGGATGGCTTCGACCAGACCACAAATGTCAAGGTATAGCTTTGATTAATATAAAATAACTAGAAATTATAAGTGTGTTCAGGGCTCCTTTAATTTACAATATATTTGACTATGGAATATGTTAGATTTTTATTAAATTGGTATTTAAAGTATTGGTTCAAACAATGTTTCCCTACGGTGTTTTCTATCACCAAATAACTAAGTGGGTCATTTGAGAAAAAAATAAAAGATAGTTTTTTTTAGTTTAAATCAGCATTCATTAAGAAAAAAGATAAAATAATCATGGTAAAAATATTATCAGAGATCAAAGCCTTAATTTGTTCTAATAACTAGATATTTTAATTGTATATTTAATCAAACCCAATTGTGTTTTTTTTTTTTTTTTTAAAAAAACCGATGTAAGACTTATATCAAATTAAATTTAACATACCATATCAAATTTGTACTTTGTTTTCAAGGTCATAATGGCTACCAATCGTGCTGACACTTTGGACCCAGCTCTTTTGAGGCCCGGTCGTCTTGACAGGAAAATTGAGTTTCCTCTACCTGACAGGTACTGTAAAACATTTATAGTAACATCATTATTGTGCAAAACAAATTATACTCTCTATTACAAGTGAGAGTCATACAAATTCTTTATGTTCTAAATATAAAAATGTATTATCTAATTACCAATTCTAAATATATATTTTACCTTCTACCCTTCTAGTTTTTTTTAATTTTTAAGATAAAATTACTCGAGTTAGCTAATGCTACAAAAAAAAAGAGTAAAAGTCCTAAGTAATTTATATTTTCAGACGTCAAAAGCGATTGATATTCTCGACTATCACGGCGAAGATGAACTTAAGCGACGAAGTGGATTTGGAGGAGTTTGTAGCAAGACCTGATCGCGTCTCTGGAGCTGATATTAACGCCATCTGTCAAGAAGCCGGAATGCATGCTGTCAGGGAAAACCGGTAAAATATTTATTATCTACATTAACGCATTTATCGAATTGATTGCAAATTAGTCCCTTAAAACATTTACTTAATGAAAAAATAAATATCTATTAAACTATAAGACACTGGGAATTTTGTCTACCAAATTAATATTGTTATATAATTGAAATAGTAGCTATAAAATTTAATAAGTCATTTTAATTCAAATTATTTTAATAAATTTCAAATAATAAATTACCTTAGAATATTAATGCTAAAATTATTTTATACTATTTATGAAGTTTTTTAATGTTAAATATATTTTAAAGTTATTTGTTTTACAGGAAAATAATTAAGATTTAGGCCATTTTTAAAAATATTATCAATGTTTGATATTCTCGGATATCATTATTTACAATTCTTTTCAGGTACATTGTCCTCCCGAAAGATTTCGAGAAAGGATACAAGAACAACATTAAAAAGGATGAGAGTGAATATGAGTTCTACAAATAGTTTAATCTATAACATTGTAATATTAATAAACAATTAATTTGTATCGTAATTTGTGTTTCTTTACTATGTAAGCAGAGTTCGACAAATTCACTATGAGGTTTTATTTCATGAAACCAGTATATTCAAAGTGAAGGTTATAAAAAAGGTTATTATTTTTTATCGCTTTGACTATGACGACGACTGCTATAAAGCAGTCGAACATACTTATTGTCAATAAATTTACAAATACTAGGGTGCTGCCAAAAGTTGGATTAATTTACCGCTTTCTAAAATGAAAACGGCATTTTTATATCTTATTAGGAATATTTATGTAGTGTTTGGATGCTCTATACAACTCCTAATTTTCCCACCCTTTTGATCCAAATTAATCAAATAATTTATTTACAATTTCCTGAAGCGACAGCCATTGCTCAATGTACATAAACACATGCACAAATATTTGAGTTATATAAATTTATTATTATAACAAGATATAAATAACCTATATTTATTACTTGTTATTATAAATTAGGAATTTATAAATGAAAATTAAAAGAAAAACTATAAATAATTCAATAATTGTTAGGGTTATAATAAAAAATGGTTCACTTTCAAATCTATATTTCATAACATTTCTTAACAACGTGACAATATTACAATATATTTGGCATAAACCTTATTGAGTCACAATAAATTACATACATCTATCGGACATGATTTGTGATGAAACGTGCATAAAAACTGGCTTATTTCTATGAGGCAATTTATGAAACCACTGGAATAAATCTTAGAAACTATGGAACATTTAAGACATAGCTGCATCGCTCATACCTTAACAATGAAATTTGGGGAAGCTACAAGTTCTATTTAAATGTTTGTATATTTTAATAAAACTTCGAGCCCCATAACAAAATATATTTTAATGTATAAAGCGAACACGTCGATTTTTCTATACACTAAAGGAGTATAAAAAACGTTACTTGGAAAAAGATATTTCGATACGAAGGCGGAACACGATACATGCATTTAAGTACATTAAGAAAGCCAATGTTTGCGAATATTGTTTTTTCTCAAAAAGTTTACGCACACGTATAGAATATTATACGTAGCTAACGTAATGTACGCAAGGACCATAATTGTCTTTGTGATTTATCTAATAAAACATGAAATTGATTTTAGTTACAAAATTCGTTAGCTGCATAAATTGTTCACCTGTATGATGTATCAGTCTATATATAGCATCTTAAAATAGCCATTATCGTGAATAATCTTCACAAAGAAAAATAAATAAACAAATGAAACTGGAATGTGAAGAAATACAAAAATAGTTTATACATTAAAAATAACATTATCACTAATATATTTTAATTACTAAAACAATTGTCCAAAACATGCACATTTTAATAATAAGCATAATTACGAAGCACTCACTTTCTATAAATACAGGTCTATTAAAGAGTATATAAAGAAAATGAGCATAATTATTTAACATCTATTTAAGAATAGACAAAATATTTATAATACTGATTAATTTTATTTAGGCACTGATCGCTTATAATTAGCCAAATTTAACAACCCTACCCGATTAAGGCCTCGAATTATAAGTAAACGACTAAACATACTAAAAACCTAAATTAGTTAAATAACATGATGTTTTTAATTGATCTTTACAATGCCACAAGAGGCTTAAAGTACGTTTATAAGTAAATATATAAATAACGAATTAAAAACCAATGGACGGGCTAGTTACTACAAAAGGCATGTTGCATAACCTACTTAATGTTAAGTCTAGAAATGTTGCATACATGATACAATACAGCTACAGCCCTAAGCCCACTTTGAAAATCATTAAATATAACCTTAAAAATGTAACGATTAAGCCAGAGTCGTTTCAAGCTATCCGTAACTAGTCGTTAAATAATGAATACATGTTGGAAGTTCCCTGGTCAAACCGTTTCTTCGTCACCGAAAAAAATGTACGAATTAATTTAATGAAGTTATAAATGAAGAATTCATAAATTTTTACGCGCTTGTCTATTCTGACAGATTGAAGTTACCAGTAATTATTTTGCCAAACAACTCTAACATTTTGTAAAAAAAATTTTATTTATTACGCGCTTAAAATAGCCAACATTTAATGGATGATTTAATATATATTTTTCCGATTAAAACAAATTTGTATACATATATTAAATTTAAAAATCTAGCCTCATGGCTCAAATATTATCAATCAATATAATAAGAAGATATAAAATATAATATATACTTTTCATAGGAATGAATAAGTGGAATGAATTCACTGGTGTATCTTTCTCAAAGAATAGCTTAAATTTACTTATTAGTTATAAATTCAAAATAATTGTAAAATTGTGATAACTAATTACAGTAAAAGTTTCTCTCATATTTCAGTGTAATATTTTTAAGAGCCTCGGACACTAGTAAAGTTATTTTCAAGAAGAAAAATATCAAATATTTTTTTTAAATCTCAACTGATTTAACTGCCAAATGTTCTGTCTCATTTAAACATTTTATAAACATAATTTGACAGAAAGAGACAAAAGACTACAATTAATTATATAAGGCAGATAACATACAGACATGTTTGTTTAAATAAGTAAAATAAACAAAAAACGTCTTGACCTTATAAAATGTAAGTATTAACTTGTGGTTCTAATATTGACATAAAAATCCCATTTTTGCTTCAATAACGAAAATATTAAAAAGATCCTAACAATATTAGCAGAACTGATGGTTAACCACAGCTTTTTCCAATTCAAGGCACATTTTAATTATTAATGTTTAGTAACACTGGATGTCTTCAGTTCAGTTTTCGCACTAATCTAAGGCACACTTTGTCATGTTTTGGATATCGCTTAAAAGCGTCGTTTCTTCGCGTCGATTTAAATGTAATTTCGTGGAAAATTATCAACTACAGCCACGAAATATACATTTTTAAAATAACTTTGTGTTAAGCAATAACAAAAACTGTATTCTTATTGAACCAAGTCGGTCAATTGGTATAGCTGCTTAGGGTTAATAGCGGCCTTCACACACAGAGCGCACCGAACGAAAAAGACCGCGCCGCCCCATCCTGTCCTCTCACCCCCCCGTGTGGGGGGAGAAGAGGGGGGGGGGGTGGGCTTTCCCCTCCGGGCCGCGGGGGGGGGGGAGGCCGGTGGTTTTTTTTGGGGCGGCGGCGTGGGGGGGAGGACCTTTTTTCCAAATGGCAGTTTGGGGCGGGGAGGGAGGGACGGGTTTTATGGGATAATCCGGAATCCTCATATTGCCGGGAGGCGGCCTCCCCGTGTTTTGCCTTTTCCCCCCCCCCCTTTCCCTTCTTTTAATTTCCCCCCGGAAGATTCCCAAAATAATTCCCAATTTTCCCCCCCCCCCCCCCCGGGTTTTTTTTTTTTTTTTTTTTTTTTTTTTCCCTCTTTTTTTTTTTTTTTTTTGCCCTTTTTTCCCCCCCCTTTTCCCCCCCCCCCCCCCCCCCCCCCCCCCCTTTTTTTTCCCCCCCCCCCCCCCCCCCCCCCCCCCCCCCCCCCCCTCCCTTTTTTTTTTTTTTTTTTTTTTTTTTTTTAAAAAATTTTTTTTTTTTTTTTTTCCCCCCCCCCCCCCCCCCCCCCCCCCCCTTCTCCCCCCTTTTTTTTTTTTTTTTTTTTTTTTTTTTTTTTTGTGGGGGGGTGGGGCGTTTTTTTCTTTTTTTTCTTTTTTTTTTTTTTTTTTTTTTGGGGGGGGGGGGGGGCGGGGGGCCCCCCCCCCCCCCCCCTTTCCTCCCTTTTTTGTCCCCCCCCCCCTCCCCTCCTCAAATGAAATTGGGATTGAGGGGAAAAATGACCTTTCGTTCAATGACATCTGCTTTTTAACGGCGATTGATTTAAGTCACTATATTGTGTTCGTCATTAACAATTGTTTGCGATAGCAAATCCTAATTCTTCAGCAAAATACGACATTAAAACATATTTACTTGTGAAACAGATTACATTGTTCTTTATTCAAATTGTTTTTAATTAGATTGGTATTCTTTTTTTAAATGGCAATACTGGTCATGAATGTACTTAAAGCCAATACTTTTCCAATCTTAATAACCAGTTACAATAAAATATCTAAGTAAGAAAATTTTATACTATTCTCGTCGACATATTTTTTTCCACATTTTATTTACCAGGAAATGTTATATATATCAAATGTCATACAATACAATTTTAATGTTGGAAGAAAATGATTTTTCCTTATTTATAATTTTTTTTTATAAAAATTAATAACTGTAATTACATAATTTTAACAAAAGTAACTCCTTTTCATGAAAGGGTTACCACAATTCGACAGAAAGAGTATTTTTTTTATGAATAAGGAGAAAAGTTACTTGCAACATCGAAATGGAATACATTAAACTTCCCATTACTTGTATTTTGTGTCAAGATGAAGTTAGTCCTATCATTGTGGCATCAAAGGTACTAACAAAGCAGGTGGACCAGCGCGTCGTAGCAAGGGATGGTGGAGTAGCCTCGCAGCCGTATGCCGTTGAGCTGGATCTCGAACTAAGGCGCACTCCAGGAACGAAGTCAGGTCTGGAGGGCAGCGAGACGCTCCACGGGGCCTGGGGGGGAGGCATGTCCCGGATTCGACGCATGGCCTGTAAATAAATGTGGATGAATAAACATATTTACATACAAAAAAAACACCTGTATGCGAATTTTTCAAGTGCTAGGCTAACCACACTCGGCATGACTAGAAATCGCATAAAATTTAATTACTTTTACGCTGTTGTAATTGATGATGGGTCATTTATTAATATGGGTACAATATAAATTGGCCTATGTTCATGCTCCACCAAAAAGCCGACTTAGGGAGCGGTCAAGTATAACGTCACGAAATTTTTGGAGATTATTGATCCCCCCCCATGTAACGCGCCGCAACGTTTTTCTGTACCCAATAGTAAAACGTTTCGTGACCACCCAGTGACTCTTTATACCTACCTAAAAGTTACCAATATGTGGTGTAAAGTACTGGAAAGTCGAAAATAATATTAACAATAACGCGTAATTCAATCCCTCCCCGCATCTTAACGTTTTACAAAAGGAAAAAATTCGTTACGAACGCTCCCTTATACTTTACTTTGTTTTATTTTATTATCAAATAAAAAATATCGTGACCAGGTATGTTATATTCAATTTTACAAATAGTCAAGATTGTTTGATAGAAATGAGATTATCCTTTTTACAGATTCTATACAATAATAAAATATTACAAAGCAAAGAAATTATACTACTATAATAATACTGTAATTTTTATATAAACTATTCAGATTATATGAAAATACCTGCAACGGTGGTTCATTAAAGAATGGGGGTTCCCCATCAATCATTTCAATGACCATAATGCCCAATGACCACACATCCACCTCTGGGCCATAAGGCAATCGAGATACAACTTCTGGGGACATCCAGTATGGTGTCCCTACTAGGGATTTACGCTTTGGTAGCTCCTGAAAAATAAAAATATGGTTTATTGGTGATTATTTCGGGTTATGGGGGGGGGGGACACAGAAACATGAGTGACTTAAAAGACAATAAATAAATCTTGTACGTAGGAAATACATAAGAAATTTTGAAATAAAAAAAAGTTTGTCATTAAACATTTCTCTGATCTGTTTTATAATTCATATTCAAATAACATTTATATAGAGAACAAAATGTACACTTATGAACGTCAAAAAATAAATATATATGAAATGATTCTAATTTTACATATACTGCCAGTTCTCCAAATCAAGGGCGTAGAACGGAAGAGAAGAACTCGCAATTATTTCCCTGCCACTCTTTTTAATCGCCAAGTTTTTTGTTTTACACAATGTTTGTAAGGAGCTGCAACCATTACACCATGTTCCACATGTCATCTTAAGTAATTATTAATAATCAAATAAATAAAAAACAAAGAAAGTCCTTGATCAGCAAGAGGCATGGTGCAATTTGTATGTAATTCAGGAAGATGCAAAAACAGTTATACAATTAAATTTTTAAATACAACTTTCTAAGTATGAAAGTTGTGATAAATCCAAACGAGCCTAGAAATCGTCAAACAATACGTTACTAAGATTCAATCGAAATCGCATTGGTTTTATAGAGAAACCCTGCTGGTGAAGAATTTATGTGAACTTTGCATGGTCAGTCTCATGCCACTTTTCTATACTACAAGCACTTCAGACTTTTCTATTATATCATTTACCTAGTCTTTAAATAATAATAACAATAATTTATTTTCTCCCATATAACATATTTTGCAACAAACAATAAGTTGAGAAGGTATTGGGAGACTGGTTTCCAAACTAGGTAAGAACCTGTGATATGGATGACCAGGCTTCCATTCCACAGCAAAGTCATATTGAGTGGTAACAAAAAGTACATACATATATGGGTAGGCAAACAAATTTAACGTTTTAAATAAGGAAAGATATACAAAACAAAACAGTCAACTAGTTAGAAGTAAGTAGAAATAAAGTTGTATGGGTTTATGTGCGGGTGTGTGATAGAGGGAAAGGGTATGTACGTGTGTGTGAGTCAGTGTTAGGAGAGTGTGTGTGGGTATATGTCAGGTCGTGCCTGACATATACCAGTGACATATACCAGTACCTGAGAACATATGTGAAAATTATTTTAATACATCTAGAAGATTTTCCGTTTGGTCATAGTTCAAAGTAAGTAAAAAATTATGTATGTCTGTCTATGGATTGTATAAACAAAGATTTGAATTTGGATTTTAAAAATGCATCATTCAGTACATATATCATCCATCTTGAATTGTCCAATCATTTGTCCAATCATTATCTACTTAGCATATTTCACGTTTTAAACATTTATTTATTAATGTTGTATTTACGGTCTCAAGTTATAAATATTATACTGAAATATATTTTTATTGTTACCTGTGAAACCTGAGCACAAAATCCGAAGTCAGAAAGTTTGACGCGTCCATCAGCAGTCATCAAAATCGAGTCAGATTTGATGTCTCGGTGAATAACACCTTGTCCATGTAAAAACGCCAACGCCTGAAGATAATTAACATTCCCAAGTTATAATATAAGCCAGGTTTTATATCATCTATACATTTATTAGCTAGTTTGTGTTAAAGCTAATGTAACTTATGTGTTGGTTCACATACGCACCAAAAAGGACTTTCTTTCAAATTAATAATTAGCTCAAAAAAATCTAAAACTATTTTTTTTGTATATGGAAAAAAATAACCCAGAAACTTTAAACCTGCTAAAAATATCTAGATAATGTTTTATCCAACTTTAGTAAATAAAAATGTACTAAACTAATTTATCAAGCCCCATGTTCATTAGTGGCTCTACCATAATTAGACCACAGTATGTTACGTTGGCGATTAATACTTTGTCACACTAATGGTAGAGACTACTAAGCTACTGGTCAGGATCTGACGTTGGAATCCCAGAAAACCCTCTTTAAAATTGAATAAGTAGTCTTTTGAGAAATTTGTGCTTTAAAACAGTACAATTTGGTAAAGTCAAAAATGACCATAGATTACCCTTTAGTTGTTGTAATTTATAGGATTTTAAAGGAATTTAAATTATAATCTCACCTTTAAGCACTGCTTGCACACTGTGGCTATTTGTTCTGGGTCCATGCGCGCGCGCGTCACAATTTGTGTGAGCGAAGCACCCGCCATATATTCCATGACGACCCACAATTCATTCCCGACAAGGTACGATGCGTACATTTCTACGATGTTTGGGTGTGGATAGTCTCGCATTATTACCTAAATTGTTTTGAATTTGTTTAATTATTATTTTATAAATTAAGCACACATCAGTATTGCTTTATGTTCAAAATTCAAATTAAAAAAATCATTTAATCATATAGGTAACACATTGTACACTTATGACTTGTCAGTAAACAAATACATATTAATGCTTCTAATTTTACATTTAGTGCCTACAATACAACGTTAATACAATAATAAAAAATTAAATTGGTATGGCTTGCTGCTACAGAATTTGCATGCATGGCCAATATTGTTTATAGAAGAGTTTGTCGTCCTGCAAATCAAATCAACATCATTTATTCATTTAGGTAAGACAATGTACCCTTATGAACGTCAAAAATAAATATATATTAAATGCTTCTAATTTTACATTTACTGCCAGTTCTCAAATCAAGGGCAACTGAAGAGAAGAACTGGCAAAAAACTCTCCGCCCCTCTTTTTCATCGCCAGGTTTTTTGTTTTACACAATGTTTGTAAGGAGCTGCAATCATTACACCGTGTTCTACATGACATTATAAGTAATTAATAGTTAATTAATAATAATAAAAAAAATAAAAACAAAGATTTGTCCTCTACCAGCAGTAGGCATGGTGAAATAGGAGCACGCACTTACATTCACGTGGGAACAACACGCAAATACATAGTCTAAAAAAAACTATAAATATTAGTAGAAACTGTACCATTGTTGTGTAAGCATAATTATAAACATAACATTATATTTAACTAACACATAAGTGCATTAAAACATTTACATTTAAATATTAAAATAAATTATTAGCAATTAACAATTATTGTCTATAAATGATGATATTTACCACTTCATTAAACAGCAATTCCCTCCTCTGCTGATTGCGTAGGTTCATCATCTTGACGGCTACTCGTCGCCGAGTCCTCGTGTCTGTGGCTACGCAAACCACCCCCGTACTTCCCTTCCCAATCTTGCTGAAGCCAGTTAGCGTCTCCCGAGGATCACCCTCGCTTACTACGAGTCTGAGAGCAGCGCGGAACTGAAAATTTGTTTTAAATCCTGATTAAATCACATCTAATCACGAATTTGGATTGGAAACTTAATTAGTTTCAATATCAGTTGGCGCGTCTTTGCGGGTGCAGAAGTGTGTTTTAATATTTTTTAAACCAAAAGTTGATGCGCGACTTTCCCCCACCATGCTATATGTAGGCAGAACAACATTTAATTATACATATAAAAATAATTAAATGTGTAATATTTGTTTGTCTAGCTCTCTTTCTTCGTCTCTGTCGTATACATCATACATCACAGTTTACCTTAAAAATATAAAGAAAAGATATACTTAGAAATAATGCTATGTTAAAATTAACTTTTACTGACCTGTTCATGTGTCAAGCGTAGCTCGTGTTTAGAGGCAGAGAGAGCTGGGGCACCCGGATGTTGTATTCGTACGCCATATGCATCACCTATAATAGAAACGGAACGACGACGACTAAATATTTACACTAAAATACAGCATAACAATCGATTAATCTTAGGTTTCCTAGAAAAGCGGTGCAATTAACTAACGGCCGTCATTTTACGGTTGTTAATAACGGCCGTCTTTACTTTGGCACCGCTTTTCTAGGAAACCTAAGCTTTCGAATATTCAACTTTTTATGTAAGATCGTAAAAAGCTGGACAGTATGATAAATAAAGTGTTATTGAGATTAATCTGTAGGTATAGAACATGGCTTAAAAAAATGTTATGGAGGAAATTAGTTATTGATTTAACAAAAAAGTCATAGTTATAAAATTTATTTTAATAGTCAGTCTAACGCTGGCCATAGACGGACCGCATGTTGCAGTCGAGACCGACTGCTCTAGAGCGGTCGCGTTGAAGTCGTACACGACTGCAACACGACCGCATAATGCAGTCGGCTACGACTGCTTGGAGCAGTTGTGTTCGACCGCAAAATAATACTGATGCGAGTTCATTTACAAGATGGATTTCGATGAAGAAACACTGCTACTTGTACTACTATTACGCAAGCGTAGGCGTAAAAGACACCGTAGTATGTGGGTGCCTCCAATACTACAATCAAGAGAACAGCATGGAATATTTAATACTTTGTATCACCAGCTGAAAGAAGACACTAAAAAGTTTTTCAACTACTTTAAAACGTCCGTGGTTTCATTTGATGAATTAGCTAGTATTTTATTTGAGGGAGTGGCGCGCGGTCGGCAGCAACCGCTTGTAGCGGTCCGTGTATGGTGGGTCCGGCAGCTCTAAGCAGTCGACCGCACGGCGAAACTCGACCGCAGAGCGACTGCTCCGACCGCTCAGAAATTGGTCGTGCGGTCCGTGTATGGCGGATATGCATTTAGTATGGAAACTGCAGTTCGCCGTGCGGCGACCGCTTAGAGCAGTCGGTATCGACTGCAACATGCGGTCCGTCTATGGCCAGCGTAATAGCCCACTGTCACAATTTAAATGTTTACACTACATAAAAGGACATTAGAATTAAATAATCTGAAATTAGGGATTCCAAACTATATCTGTTAACCTATGCTTAGTAGTAATCCACTTATACATAGAAGAATAAAATATCACAATATGTATGAGACAGATATGAAATCACCAAACTGAAATATGTTTATGTCCAAATATGGATAAGGGAGCGTTCAAGTACCATTATGTGGTGTAAAGTACTGGAAAGTCGAAAATAATATTAACAATAACGCGTAATTCAATCCCCGCCCCGTATCGTAACGTTTTACAAAAGGACCCCCCTCCCCCCAAATTCGTTACGTAGTACTTGAACGCTCCCTAAGTAGAACAATCACATCGAGTTCAAGTCACATATTTCTGGTCTATATCACTATTTCCAAGGCACATATAAATGTAATAAAAACATCCGTATGACAACAAAATCCTAGCTAGGAATAAGGATTGCAAGAGATTGCTTTCCTTTTACTTTAAGCTGCTAAATCTTTTTAAACACTTTCTTTCTTTGGTATAAGGGACAAGATTCATAGTCAAGTCTTATTTATGTCTATAGACCAAAGGAAGTCCTAGGTTTGCTAGAAGTCAACGCTATACAGCATATTTTATGCAATGTGCTAAGCTTTGCCACTAATCCAAAAAGGCAGTGAAAAAGGCCACAAGTTGTTTTTTCCTTTGTATAGCCATTAGAAAAACAGTATATGCATTTTAGTATAAGTTATTTTAAATAAATTAACACTTTATTGTAAAGAGTGCATACTTCACTGATTGCCATTACATATTCAAAGCATGTACTAAGGCCTCAATCATGATGATAATATTAAATTGCGACATACTTATAAGGCAAAAACACTATAACGGTTTTATCTTAGAAAAATTATTGAAGGCATGTTTAAATATTTATTACTAATTAAACTATTAAATTTTTTTGCTAATGTATAGAGAGTTATGGGAGTCAATAAAGTGCACTGACAATTAGACGATCTGGCCAAAAATTCTTGGAATGCAAATTATTAATTTGTGACACATATATGACCAGAAGCAATAACCACTTTTACGAATCAAAAATGTAAATACATATAATAAAAACAAACCTATATTTATATTGTTTCCATTCATTCCAATTTGTGGTTGATGCAAAGTAGGCTGAGGAGGTGGGTGGCTGTGTTGGTATGGAACATTGGCATTTTGTATGTTTTGATATGTAATATTTGATTGTGGATTTTCATTAACGTCATTCATCGATCTTATAGCTGTTTCATGAGCATGTTGAGACCATTCATCAGGTGATTCTCGAACTGGCTGATTAAGTGTATAATTGCTCTGTTCACGCCTTAAACTTGGGTACTGTGGTGCTTGTTGTACAGAAGGTGACTCTTCAGGTACTGATGGTGGAATATTTGCCTGACCTCTCAAGTCTCTTCTTATTCTTGGTGGACTTGAACTCCTCAAAGAGTTTGACCGAGCAACATTAGACATTTTTGGTAATATAACACCATTCTGTACAGGTTGTGTTATTGGGTTTGTGGAAGTTGGTCTTGAAATGGCTGCAACTGATGATGTCCGGTGATCACCTCTTACAACAGTTTTTAGGTCTAAAATCTCTGTTGGTGTGATTTCTGAAGGATCAACTAAAGGTAATGGTCGATTTGAAGATTTTAATATCTGTAAATACATATATTTTACATAACTGCCACTTATATAACTATTACTTACTACATAGATGAAGCCATTTTTATACTAGTTTAACCCACTTTGTAAAAACTGGAGCAAATGATGTCACTAGGTTAAAATGTACAACATAAACAAAGCATAATTATTGCCCTACTACACATACATGCATATGGGCTGTAAAGATGTACTGATTTTATTTATCACCAAGATCACTAAAACCTTGATCTATACATACCTGGTTATTTCCAACTAGTGAAGCCCATTGCAATGGTAGACCAACAAACTTGTTTTCTCTTCTATCAAAACCAGTGTGCACTCTGTGTTCAAAATTACTTGGTGGTGAAATAAGAGGCTTCTTCTTTTTCTTAGAAAACATAGTGGACTTTCAAATAATGTGGTTCTGTGATAGGGAAATCATTGTTGGATTAACATTTTATATAAAAAACGTTAACTATAAAAAAAATAAAGATTCAGCTAAGAATTCACGATTACAAGTGGAATTTAATAAATAATTAAACTGTCGCCACATTCACGTACCTATTAGTAGTTTATTTTCAGTTCCTCTAAATTCGTTTCAGCCAAGCCCTATTATAAACTTGTGTTATTCACAATCCACATAGCAACACACTTAATATTCTATTCTACTTTTGTAAAAAGTTCCCAGTGAAAGAGTTTGAAATTTAAATTTTCTTTAAAACAGCACATTAAGTAAACGAAATCCTGTGTATCAAGTTTTCAATTTTAAGTTTTCACCAACACCCAAGTTTCAACTTTCATCAAGTATTTTTTTAATTTTTATTCCAATCCACAGATTACTTCAGTATTGAGTATACTAATAGAGTTTGCCACTCTCCTCTCTGGGCAAAGTTTTCCTTTGGTTTTAGCCTACGGTTTTAGCTAAAATTGTATTATATTGTTAAATTATATGTCACACATTGTAAAGATGAAATTGTCTGTTTAAATTTTTGTCAGAAATGAATTGTGAATATAAATATAAGAAGATTTTGTAGACGTTTATATTAGCCTAGGACAGCTTGTTGTTGAGAATATATTTTGCATTACACTTGACAGTTGACACTTAACTGAATAATAATAAAACGTATTTTTCCTAATAAATGATTAAATACTGTTTCAGTTTAGTTTAATCAAAGAATTAATACTTATTTGTTTACTTTCATTAACCTGTAATAAAATATTAATTTAAAGAGTGCAGTGTGTATGATTTTCAATACAAAGTAGAGAATGAAAGAAAAAAGGCATAAAAAACACAAGAAAAATAAACGGTCAAAAGAAAAACTTAAATCAGATGTAAGTAATTAAAATGTTTTTAAGTAAAGTTACTGTAATTCAGGAAGATAAATCACTAAATATAAATTGCTTCTTTTCAGGATTCTGATGGAAACTCTTCAGCGTCGGATAAATGGGTAGAGATGCCACAAAACAAAGACTCTGGTCATGATGAATGGATGTCGATGAGTGGTATGATAAAAACATATACTAAGGACGATATCAAACCTAAATTGGAAAAACCAAAAGCTCATATAGATTCATACAATCCTAGTACAAGCGGTAGAGAACTCAATCCATATTGGAAAGATGGAGGCAGTGGGCTCCCTCAAACTCCTGACCAATTTCGTAAAGCAAAACCTTTTGTGAAACCTTCTGATGATGAGGATAGTTATCTTTCTAAAAAAAACAAAACAAGGGACTTGAATTGTCATCGGCAAACTAACATAGCCAGTAAAGATTTAGATTTTAGGGATTATAAACGGTCTCATAACTGGCGTAAAGATAGAGAAGTGGAGTTGAAATGTGAATCTTCTGAACAAAAACAAGAAACCAATTTACAAAAAAGTGAATACATAGAAGAAAGTAACACTGCATTCTTGAGCGACGAGAAAATGAATAAACTAGGTGCAAAAATTGTCAAAGCAGAAATAATGGGTGACCATCAACTAGTTAGCAAATTAAAGGACAAATTAGAAGCAGCTAGGGAATACCGTAAAAATAATCCAGTAATTATTAATGAAGATGATGGTATAATGTTAATTTCTACTAGTGCTAGTGGAAGCAGCCGTCCATTAATAAAAAATCACTATGATGGAGACTCCCGGAGCAAGGGTGGTAAACGTAAAGCAGAAACATATGATGTTGGTGGTCGATGCAAATATTTTGGTAATGATGATAAATATAATCTCTCAGAAATGGTAAGTATTCTTCATAATAGGATATTTTTAATTTAATCTTATTTCATAGATAAAATATTATTCATGTAATTATGAGGCAACTTATAAAGATGTTCATAATCATAAACTATTCACCTACTATAGAAATTTGTTTTATAATGTCTAAAACTAATCTATAATTTGAACTTATATTTACAGTTCCAACAAGAAAAGTATGGTACAAACTATGATGCAGATGCAGAATTAGCCAAAATATCAAGTAAAAGTAAAAACCCAAATGATGATTTAGAAGATATATTTGTGGATGAAATATCAAAGAATAGAAATGATGCCAAAGACAGTGAAAGAGAAAGACAAAAGGCCATAAACCAGAGTGTAAAGTTAGAAAAGTCTTTAGATGGATGTGAGCATTGCTTTGATTCAAAGAATATGATTAAACACCTTGTTGTAAGTTGTGGTAATAAAGTATACATGGCAGTTCCAGCTAGAAAATCACTTGTCAAAGGACACTGTATTATAACCACTATCCAACATTATACCTGTGTTACAGCTCTTGATGAAGATGTCTGGGAAGAAATCATGGTAATCCTTTCTACTTTTTTGCTTTGTATTTTTTCTTTTTATAATTGTATTCAACACTATTTAAAGGTTGATTGTTTTATAGGTTTACAGGAAATTAATTACACAATATTTCAACTCGCAGAATAAAGATGTTGTGTTCTATGAAACAGCTATGAAACTGCACAGATATCCTCATGTTGTCATAAATTGTGTTCCATTGCCTCGGGATGTAGGTGACATGGCGTCAATATACTTCAAAAAGGCATTACTTGAATGTGAAGCCGAATGGTCCATGAATAAGAAAGTAGTTGACCTCAAAGGCAAAAACATTAGAAAGGGCATACCTAAAGGCTTGCCCTACTTTTGGATTGATTTTGGTGTAGATCCAGGGTTTGCTCACGTTATTGAGGATCAGTCAATGTTTCCAAAAACATTTGCTGAGGTTGGTAACATTTTTGTACATTAATTTTGCTGTAACTACATAAACTACTTAGAAGTTTCATGTTTTAACTAGTGCTCTATGAAACATTTCTTACTGGGTAATGTAACCTATTTTTGTTTTAATTCAATTTTTAGGAATACTAAGTTTTAGCTTACTCCAATGAAAATTTTATTTGTTTTTTAGGAAATCATTGCTGGAATGTTAGATTTGGATCACACAGTATGGAAAAATCCTCAAAAAGAATATGGAGAGTTACAAAGGAAAAAGGTAATGGAATTTGTAAATGAATGGAAACCATTTGAGAGAAGCAATAAAAATTAAAATAAAGTAATCGTCATTTTATTTTTCATGCTCTTCATTTAGCATCTCTTCTATTAATTTTTGTCGTTCTGCAGCTTGTCGCATTTTAGTTAAAACAATTGACTCATAATCTCGATCTGACACAAGTGATGGACCATTGGCATCTTTTTTTATTGATATTATAGGTCTCTCATTTAACCATTTTAATGTGAGAGGGTTGTCTGGCAAACCTACAAAAACCAAGATTTTTCTTTAAATATTTACTGGCATTAAAATGTTAGGCAATAAATAAATAAAAAAGTAAAAATAAATAAATTTAAATTGACAACGCAATTATATGTTTACTACTACTGAGGAATCAAAGCTACAATTTCTCCATATTTTTTAAAGGGAGCTAAGAAGCAGTAGGTACACCTGATGTCAGTTAAACTGCTACTCACAGTTATGGGTGACAATTATAGTCTTTTTTGGAGCATGTTGTTGGCATTTAAAATAGATAATTATTAGTTCAAATAAGATTATCCCACTTGTTTACCATCCAAAAATATTTTGTGTATAAAGATAACATGGATCAAAGAGCTTTGTGATTAAGCCTGTATGAAATTTAATAATTAATCTTGTTATACCCTTTTCAAACTCCACTGCCATTTCCGAGGCTTCTTTTGTTGCAAACTCAATCAAGGCACTACCTCTTTTTTTAGGTGAAATTATGAGAGCTACAATTTCTCCATATTTTTTTAAAAATCTTCTCAAGTTTGACTCATTATATCCACCATTATTTGAATCATTTTTATCTACATTCCACTTGATCTTTATCCTGTTTAAACTTGAATCCCATCCTGGTTCATTAAGACGACCCAATGTTCTTTGTATTTCTTCTTTTACTCTTTTTTGTTCTTCTAATAAGAGTTTGCTACCTTCACGCTGTAAACGTTCTATTTCCGCTGCTAATTTCTGTTCATCAGTCAAATTAACTTTATTGCTTGAATGTGCCTCCCTTTCTCGTCGTTCCAAATCCTCCTTAAGTTTTTGTCTCTTAGAATCTAACTCTTGATGTCGTAACTGTGCTGCTTCTTTTGCTCTAAGTACTTTGTCATAAGCATCTCTAGCTGATTTGTCTATGAGTATTTCTAAAGCTCGAGACAGTTCATGAAAAGTTTCTGCAGCTTTAGGATCATCTGGATTTTTGTCAGGGTGACATACAAGTGCCTTTTTTCTGTAAGCCTTTTTGATCTGAAACAATATAGAAAGAGTTATTAGTTACTGAATCAAAAATATTATCGGAATTATTAACTGTTTTGAAATTCGTTTTTACTTCTGCTTCAGTAGCTGTTATTTTGACATCGAGTATTGAATATAAATCAAGATCCTCAATGTTTTTCTTATTCATTGTTAGTTTTTTTTTATTTGAGTTTAGTTTTCTAACAGAAATATACTTATAATAAAATGTAACTTTTTTAAAACCTTGTAACTTATTTGTATTAATGTATTAAAAAATTAAAGTGGAACAAAATAAGTTATAATAGGTATGCATCGGATTCGGATAAATAAAGCAAGTATAAAAGTTTTTTTTTTAATATTATGGTCTGCTAATAGTATTAAGTAAGGTACTATAAATTATAATTATAGATAAGCACAGAATAGTATCGTAGAAATAAATGAAGTCAGACCACAGAATAGATACCGCCCGACGGGTGTCTGTCGTTGTCTACAGAGAATTGAAAGCATTAATCATAAGTTCAAAGATACTCTGCGTCGCTTTTAATCATCGACAAAACCCTTAACTAAAATAAAATAGTTAAGGGTGAGGCCAAACGAGCGTACATTTTTGAGTTGTGAGTTGCGTAATTTTGGTCGCGTAATTTCTGCTGCATTCCGTTTCATACAAAAGTCCTGTTTCTTTCACACGGCGACGCAAAATGAGTTGTCTAATGTCTGCCGACTCACACGCATTATTCGGACCGACATCCGAATTGAGTTTGCGGGGAGCATCAGTCTTTCACTATTAAGCGGATTTACCCAGCATCTTTTTCTGGCATTATCTACTTCTTCGTCTTCTAAATATGCTTCGTAAATACACAAAATTTTCAACGGTTCCATTGCACGACATCCGCTATAAACGTTCGATAGTAACTGAATAAAATGCGCTCGTCTGGCATCCCAACAGAATTTTTGCCAGGCAGAATTTCTGGGACTCACGACTTACAAAATTACGCTCGTTTGGCCTCACCCTAAGGGTTACTTGAACTGAAAATCCAAAACAGCCGGTTTAAAAAACAAAATCGGTTAACCTTTACTTTGGATTTTGAAGAATGGTTTACTCTTTTAATATTGGGTCATTCTTTCGACAGTACTTTGTACAGTTATTAATTATTAATTAAATGAGATATTTTAAATATCATAGAATGTTAATAAAAGGTATATTCCTATATAACTAATAAATGATAATATTGCTTTTCCGTAATATAGTTTTTAAAGTGAAAAAGACATAGGTCTCTCAAAGGAATTGCGGGAATTCATTCATTTACAATAATTCCTGGGACCATAATACGTTTTGCAGTTTAATAACAAAAACTAAACGGAGACAAAAATATGTCTGGGCAGCTTAGATTAACTAGGTGGATTCATGAAATAGCCTTGGTTGAAAGAAACCAATAAGAGATAACAATTTATCAAATTAAATTAAAATTACGTTGTTAGATGAGTACTCGGTGAATTAGGATGAAATCTTTGTAAGTGCGATTGTGAGATTCAGTGTTTTAGGCTGTAATACCCTTAATAAATTACGTTACCAAGATCACACCATGGTTCGTTTTGTAAAAATAAACACAATATGAGTTATTGATGGTTCCGGTAACTATTTGTCTGATATATTTAAAACAGATTACAACTTCAGAAAATATTCCGTTAACACTATCGTTAAGAAGCAAAGAGAATTCGAAAAATGAGAAACTTAAAGAAAAAAAAGGGTGCGTGTACTTATGTACGCGCGTAAGAATTTATACTTATTTGGCATTATTAAAAATAGTTTTTGATTGCATGCAAATAATTAATTACAATTAAATAATCAAAGACTGGAAAAGGAGTCATTATAGTCAATAAAGTTCAGTTTACATTTGAAAAATTAAATAAATAAATATTTATTATTATTAGTATAGTATAGTATAACTTTGGCACCAAAGTTTCATGCATGACATTCTTTTCGCGGCCAACACTTTTTGGTCCAGTGATTTGCTCGGATTTGCTCTACTATCCCATAGACACGAAAAGCACGGGAATTTGGTAAACCCAGATGTCCAACAAACATGCCCAAAATTTTGAAATAACCGCACATTTGCCAATCGTAGTTTTTATATTTTAATTTACAAAGAACCGATTCCAAGTTCTTGTATGTTTCCTTGAGGTGTACGGAATGATCGACAGTAATGGAAGCATAGAAACCATTGTGAAGCAGAACTGCTTTAAGGCTTCTTTTTGAAGAATCTATGATAATACTGTGCACTGTTCGGGGTGCTGTGTGACTTTAAATTAGCCCAAAAACACCTTTTTTAAAATTATATTTTGCGTTTTGCAAAATACCCTGACGTTTTGGAGTTTTTGAGTATTTTATATATGGTTTTTAGAAAACCTAAATACATAGAAATCAGTTAAAAACATCCAGACAGTATTTCGTTGCAGACCAGTAGGTATATATATATAAAATTCTGATCTGTGGGACCATTTTACTGAACAATGCCCATTAGGCAATCATGTCTCGTTATTTGTCAACGCTTTAAGATCTGGGAGTTAGAATTAATTTTATAATAAAATCTTGTCTTGAATTCTCTATCTCAATGGGATGAAATAATTAGAAACTTTCACACTCAGCTAGTTTTTTTTAGACGCAGTAGGGCCGTTGTTAGAAAAGGAAAATTTTGTAAATTAATGTTTTTGCTATCATGAGTTGTATTTATTTATACTTTATTATTTAATAATAATATATATAGCCCATAACATCCCTATGATGGCCAAAGACCTGCTTCCTTTCCTTTCAGGAATTCTTATAAAAAAAGCATTAAGTTTGTCCCACCCTATCTATTACTTAGTTTGTCGCGATGTCCAGTTTTCTACCTAATATTCTTGACATAGGCCTCCTCCATAGATTTCCACAAAGAACGGTAATTGGGAAGAATTATTAAAAAAAGTTGTTCGGATTAATACCTGCAGCTGAGTTTCATCTATTGGACGTCGAGGCAGAATACGAAATTCCACCCGTATCACCTCGACGTCCGACGTTCCACAACTGAGCGTTTTTCAAGGCAGTTTTTGCCGCGCACCACCACTATGTGGAACCAGCTGCCCACTGAAGTATTCCCGAACCAATTCGACTTAGGGTCCTTCAAGAAAAGAGCGTACCAATTCTTAAAAGGCCGGCAACGCACTCGCGAGCCCTCTGGCATTGAGAGTGTCTATGGGCGGCGGTATCACTTAACATCAGGTGAGCCTCCTGCCCGTTTGCACACGTTCTATAAAAAAATAAATAAAAAAAAACTATTGCTGTTTCTTGTGCGGCCACGCTTTTGGGCTATCTGTATGTACTTCATCTGAGCTGCGCAGGCATTGTTTTGAGATATATGTATCTATATCTTAAAAAGAAAATTAAAATAGCGTGTCGCTCTATTTAGACGACTGACCAAATAAAAGGCTTTCTTATTTCGTCTTTTACAATGTGTAAATTGAATTTATCATTAATAACGCTTAAATAATTAACAAACTCAAAGTAATATCATTCTTTTATTGCTAGCTTTTATAATTTATATTAACAAAAAAATTATTTCTATTTATGTTCACTCTGTGTTTTGATCTTCATCAACTTCACCGCGTCTGTAGTCTTTGTTTTATTATTTTTGAATTATTAGATAATCTGTGATGTTATGATTTTCTTCTGACCAATAACCTAATAAGTTTAAAATAAAAATATCGTGATTTAGTGACTGGTTAGGTTTCGGTAATCCTAATTCTTATTTTTAAAAATTATAATTATTAAAAACGATACACATTATGTTTCCAAGAATAATTTTAAGTAAGTTTATATTAACAGCTATTAAATGTCATGATATATTTTTCTTTACCTGAATACTATATCTTAGAATAATAATATATTATGTATTTCAGAGCGTATATTTAAGAATGTAGCAATAATACCTCGATATAATTCTACAGCAGCAAAACCATTAGAACACTCTGATAATAATGCGGGTAAGTTTTTATTAATTGAATGAGGACTAAATTATAATAGTCACTTCAAATAGAAAAATATTTTTTTCTATTGAAGTGGCATCCAGTTTCCATAATGTTCTATTACAGTATGTTAAAGTAATTTTTATTATGAATACCGACCTTTATTAAATGTGTGTTACATTTTTCAGAGATTTTAAAGACCAAATCTTCACCCTTGGACCACCCAGACTATTTCCAAGTTCATAGTTTATTCAATGTAAAGGATTTATTTGATGCCAGAGTTCATTTTGGACACAAAGAAGGCTCTCTGAATGAGTTAATGGCACCTTACCTGTATGGTTCTAGACAGGGTCATCTTATATTTGATCTTGATGTTACAGCTGAACATCTTCGGAGAGCTCTTAACTTTACAGCACACATTGCCTATAGAGGTGGCATTATTTGCTTTTTTAATAGGAATGCCCTAAACGCTCACATTGTTGAAAAAACTGCATTAGAGTGTGGGGAATATGCTCACACAAGATTTTGGAAAGGAGGTATATTTACAAATGCAAATCATCAATTTGGTGCCATCACTAGGCTACCAGATCTATGTATATTTTTGAATACACAGAACAATATTCTTAATCAACACACTGCAGTTAGAGATTGTGCAAAAATGTTAATACCAAGTATAGGTATTGTTGATACAAATTGTAATCCTAACTTGATAACATATCCAGTACCAGGAAATGATGATACCCCAGTTGCTGTTGAGTTATATTGTAAATTGTTTAAAGGAGCTATTCAAAGGGGTAAGGAGGCAAGATTAAAATTTTTACAAGAAGCGGAAGAACAAGGAGCATTTGCTTAGTTTAGACTTAAATTTTTAAATATTAATAATAATAGTTCATAACAACAATAAAGTATTTTATTTCATACATTTGGATTATAATAAAAAACAGTTTATAAACATTTTTCTTATATTCTAAAATTAGGTATCTAATATCACTGATAGCAAATGCTAGTTTCAACATAAAATCCTGTATCAATGAAATTAATACAAAGAAAATAGCTTTTTGATAAAATATGTTGTTTCCAGCAACAATTTCAAAATATTTTCAAATAGAAATGACCCAAGTACACTAAACAAAATTGTTGTTTCAATTCAAAGTTAAAGAAAAATAATTAAGTTACTTTACATAATTTATAATGATTAATGAATCTTAGTTAAGCCTAACATAAAATATAAGCTTTAGGCTAAGACAGAAGAAGAGGATAGTTACCAATATTTGATATCTCTAATCTCATAAGTTACAAAAATGAACAATATTATGGAAAATTATCCCAAAAGCACCTTCTGCATCATGTGAGTTGGCGGGTTTCTTTCCGTTTCTCGGTTCTCCCAGCTGCCGGTAATGCATTTAGAGCTACATAAATATTGCAAAAGTGGAATACGATATCGCCCACAAAAATCAACGAATTTTACATGCTCCACATGGTTGTCAAAGAACACACCTGAAACAAAAGATATTAAACTTATTTATCACCCTTGCATGTTGCACAAAGGCAACATTATCGCGGATTCTTTGTTACGAATAAATAGCAAATACATAATAATATATTCATGTCATGTTACTGTTACTGATAAGATCCTTATCATAATTATTTTGCATACCTTTACATTTTGGATTAACACAACAATTTGCGGATTGAAGGTATTTGATCACTGTAAGAGGAACATCGCCAGGTCTCACCGGCACCTCGTGAAGTTTAATAGTACGTCCTGCTAACTCCAATAAGGAAGGTGGTTGTATTGCCATATCACTCACAAAACGGACCACCAATGGATTGTCTCGCAGACTCAACTGTAAATCAAAGTTTGTACACACATGGAGGCTATAACTGTTATAATACATATATTTGGCTAACGTACACATTTAAATAAAACTTTAACGGATATAAACTCAAATTTATTACATTATTCACAAAACTTGACGCTTCGAGAGCTTTTCAGCAATCGTAGGGTTAGCGAGTTGTCTCTTGCTGACCGTTAATTATCAATTTTTATTGCAGTTATGGTTCATTATTTTGGCTATAATGGCATACACATAAGTATATATATATATATATATACTGTGTCGGGCTTTTTTGTAGGACTATTTAAGATAAACATTTCCTTCATACATTACATAATATGGGTAACTTTAGCAGTTTTGGCAGCGCACGCCAGATTAGCTCGCAGATGGTAGATTTTTTCCTACTTAGATGATATTTTGGACATTCACACAGTGTCTTTATAAACTGTAGCCTATCTGTTATTCTTATGCATAAGCTATATTATTGTACAGTTTCACTAAAATCCATTCAGTAGTTTTTACGTGATAGAGTAACAAACATCTATCCATACTTAAAAACTTTAGCGTTTATAATATTAGTAGGATTTTGTTTTTTACATACATAGTTTTTTATTTCTAACATAATTTTGGTACATTTTTAGATATTGTTTTACCGCAGCGGACACTTGGCATACAATGATTTATAAGTGCGTTGCCGGCCTTAATATATACCTATAACATTATAGTAAAGACTTCAGCACTTTCATTACGATTGGTCGATTACGCATCTTCTGCCGCATCACTAAATGAAATGAGTTCAAATTACATTCGAGTGTACAGGATCAAACAACAGAACAGGAGCGCGATTACTCAGTATATTATTATATACTTTGGGCCTTCGAAACTATTCCAACATTATATATCTGGCTACATTTTGTAATAAAAAAAGTAACTCAACTTACTTCAGTCAAACATTTTAGTTTTATTATTTGCGTTGGCAATGTTTTCAATTTATTTTTATGTATCAGCAGTGATCGCAGTTGGTGTAAGTTGGCGATGCTAGCAGGCAACTGTTCAATTTGATTATCACTTAGAACCAGCGCCTGCAGTGTCTTCAGTGCGCCCACTGATTCTGGTACTTCAGCAATTTTGTTACCAGCAATAGAAAGTATTCGCAAACTGAAAAAAAATAAAATGGTTAATATAATTCGGGGGATTGATACTCGGTACAATTTATATAGGTCGTATACCTTATACTTAAACTCAAAATAACTTTATTCATATAGGTAAACAAGTACACTTATAAACGTAAATTTACACTTACACCAGTTCGCAAGTCAAGGGCGTAGAGCGGGCAAGAAGAACTGGCAAGAAACTTTCCGCCCCTTTTTAATTCGCTAAGTGAGTCATACAAATTGTTTGAACTGGAGCAAATAAATCCCAAGGATTAGGATCATTTAAATATTCGTCAAATTTATAAAAGGCTTTATTGATTAATTTACATTTAACGAGGGCTTTGAATTTATTTAGTGATAATTCTCTAATTTCGCTTGGGAGTTTGTTGTAAAAACGAATTCAATTTCCATATAAGGAGTGGTTTATCTTCTGGAGCCTGGTTGGTCGTACATTCAATTTGCTACTGTTTCGAGTATTATACTTTGCTAAGATAATTTAAAAAAATAAGGACAGGCAACGCACGCTGACGTGCAGGCGATGTCCATGGTTAGCATTCGACATAATGTATTTTGATTTATTCCAAATCAAAAGACTTGATTGAATCGTTAAAATTTCGTCTGCCGCCAAACATTTTGATCCAAGATTGATAATAATTCAGTGGTGTTACACTCTACTTGGGCCATAGATTGCCGTTTTTATGGACAAGTAGGTGCTCAGCCGTCTTTGTCTGACACATGTCATCGATTTTTAGGTTTCTGAACCACCAGATTCCTCACGATGTTTGCATTCACTGTAGAAGCAAGTGTTAATTGTGCACATGGAAATAAAATTCCATTGTTGTAAGCACGCCTTTAGGGTTAATAGTCGCCCACTAAAGCCACAAGCTTGAACAGTATTAATAAGGGTCTCATTTATACAAGTTTATAGATGACTTTCAAATATATCGATCTAAGAATGTGTTGTCATCTTCATTAATTCACCAAGTGACAAGGACATAACGTTTAGCTAATAGTTAATTGAATTGGCTTTGTTTGTTTGGCAGTGGGATATGAATAATAGGCCTACTATCAAGAATTATGTAGCTTTTTTATCTCTTGCTTTTTAAAGATTTACCGAAAGTAGCGTGAACCTATTATACAATAACTCGTATAAACAATAATTATCTACTTAATTGTATATTTTGATTAGTAGTATGAAGGTTAATGTTTTGTTTATGTTATTATTATATTTATTTGTTTAGTATAATTACTAAACAAATAAATATAGATATATATAGATAGATAGATCTGGCGTTAACTACATAATTTTACTATATTTTTCGAAGAGCGATTCAAATCGCCGACGACCAACGCTTTCCGAGCGGCTTGATCCCTTGGCGTTGCCTAGAGATGTGGGATCTCTCTGCATCTTCTACCGCACTTACCATGGAGTGTTCAGAGGAGTTGTTCGGACTAATACCTGCAGCTGAATTTCATCATCGGACGTCAAGGCAGAATACAAAATACCATCCGTAACACCTTGACGTCCGTCGTTCCACAACTGAGCATTTTTTAAGACAATTTCTGCCGCGCACCACCACTATGTGGAACCAGCTTCAAGAAAAGAGCGTACCAATTCTTAAAAGGCCGGCAGCGCGCTTGCGAGCCTTCTGGCTTTGCGAGTGTCCATGGGCGGCGGTATCACTTAACATCAGGTGAGCCTCCTGCCCGTTTGCCTTCTGTAACATAAAATAAATACTATTTGTTGCTGATTTAAGGTTAAATGCTCAAAAAACAGCATAGTTTGATTTTGCTGAAATAATGTTATTTGAATAATGAGCACAGCTGATAAATTTATGCGTAGAAAGCAAACGGGCACAGACCATACCACGAGAGGGACTTGCAACGCCAAATATTTGAACCAGCATCAGCTATATTAAACTGATAACTAATAGCGTAATGTATAAAAAACTAAAATATACCCTGTTCTGAATATTGAGCTAGGCTAGAAGTAAGTTCCTGATTGGAGACTTATCGCTACGTATGACGCCGGTATGATAATAAAAAAAAAAGTATTGCTATCGTCTTACGAGTCTTGCTCGCTACGACGTATCCTTAGTTGCGTCAAATTCAAAAATCATTTAATCATATAGGTAACAAACACATTGTACACTTATGATCGTCAAAAAAAAAGAAATGTATATGAAATACGTCTGCTAACTTTACATTTAGTGCCAGTTCTCAAATCAAGGGCGTAGAACGGAAGAGAAGAACTGGCAATAAACTCTCCGCCACTCTTTTTAATCGCCATGTTTTTTTTTTTACACAACGTTTGTAAGGAGCTGCAACCATTACACCATGTTCCACATGACCTTTTAAGTAATTAATAATAACAACATAAATTAAAAACAAAGATTTGTCCTCTATCAGCAGGAGGCATGGTGAAATAGGAACACGCACTTACATTCTCGTGGGAACACCACGCAAACACATAGTCGAAATAACTAACATCACCGCATACACGAATTCAAGTACGACCAGTCACCACAACTAGCACCCGTTCACGAGTATGACGCATGGCCAGCCATCGGCCCCCTTAAATTGTATAAAACAGTTGAAAATAAGAAACCTTTATCATTTTAAATACGCGCATATTCCATTGTCGTAAAATTATCCAATACACAGTTTTTGTACAAAATAATTTATTATTATTAACACTAAATTATAAAAATTCTGCAAAACATCGTGATAATGCTAGATCGTCTGCGATATCGATATCAGGGCTCATTTTAAATTAATCTGTTTAGATAAGGTGGACTTGCAAATTATTACATATTTTACAATGTATACGACTATTTATTCAATTTAATTCATATGTCATAAACTGTCGAAAGATTGTGAACTCAACGTACTGCTTACAATTTAACGTATTATTATTCGGTAGATTGTAATCTATCGAAGTGAAACCGTCAAATTGTGAAACGGCCATTTTCTACTTTTCTATTGGTTATAAGAGATGTGACTCGATTATTTCCTCATTTGTTAATTTTAAAGTTGAACCTAATCGAATCGATTATTTGCTATTTGTTAATTTTAAAGTTAAACCTAATTTAACCATTACTTGTCAAATGTACATACATTACATTAACTTCATGTTTCAATTAGTGTAGGGTTCCGAAAATTTTTAAATTATTCAAAAATAATCCATTTTTCAAAAGTGAAAATCGATTTTTGTATTCGATTTCGAGTTTCAGTTGAACAGTAATTTAAATTTCAAATCTTTCGACAGTTTATAATCTCGCGAGATAGATTACAATCTAACGGTTTTTAAAATTTTACGTTAACATATTATACACTATTTAGTACTTAACATGAAGAATATTTAGCCTCACTATGTGAAACCAGCTGAAATATTTCCGAACCAATTCAACTTAGGGTCCTTCAAGGAAAGAGCGTACTGATTCTTAAAATCGGCGGTATCACTTAATATCAAGTGAGCCTCCTCCTCCTTTGCCCCGTTCTTTAAAAAAAGTAAAGTATACTATGACGACTAGGGTCCATTCCCAGTTGGAGAGCAAATTAAATCTAAATTTTTCCTGCCCTCTAATTATTAAGGTATTTTTACGAATTAAAGTATATTTACGAGAATTACCCGAAGGGTTATTATACAGGGTGGCCAAAAAGTCGTGGATCAAACGCAAATAGGGGATAGATGAGGTCATCAGCGGCAAAAAATTGTTCTACGGGAGGTCTCTAAGGTCAACCCCTGCAGAGTTATGATTTATTTTGGTTTTTATATGAAAATTGACTTTTTTTACTAATTCTTCTTAAAATTCGAAAATATCTACATCCTGTATCTTTCTCATAATATCCACTAGATTGGTACTGATGAGTTCTTGCGTTAGACATACTATTTTTGGTTGTTTATTGAGTGTATTGAAGATAATATTAAGTTATACGATATAAATTTTTTTCAAATCAAAACTTTTTGTTTATTTCGGACCCCACTGTAAAAAAAATTCTCTACCGAAAAGTGACCCTATATTACAAGTTTTGGCGCATTTAATATGGATTCTGAAAAGATATTACACATGGCCATAAGTCGCTCTAATATCTTTCTAGGAGGAAAAAACAACAACGATTCGGACTTATGATAGATTATTTACCTACCTGTGACCAGTACTGTGTGAATCGGACTAGATTCAAAGAATTGGACAGATGGCTGGAGGGTTACTTAGGAATTTGTTTAGACGGTACAGATTAAGTATTATGGTCAGAGTCAGGAATTTTGAGCATATTTTATTGTAAAATATTTTGTTTCCTACAAACAACCATTGAGAAATAATTGTTTTAATACAATTATTATTTCACAATCGTTGTTTGTAATTCTTCCTAGAAAGATATAAGAGCGACTCATGACCACGTGTAATACCTTTTCAGAATCCCTATTAAATGCGCCAAAACTTGTAGTACAGGGACACTTTTCGGTGGAGTAATTTTTTTTCACAGTGGGGTCCAAAGTAAAGAAAAATTTATGATTTGAAAAAATGTTATATCGTATCACTTAATATTATCTTGAATACACTCAATAAACAACTATAAATAGTATGTCTAACGCAAGAACTCATCAGTACCAATCTAGTGGATATTATGAGAAAGATACAGGATGTAGATATTTTCGAATTTTAAGAAGAATTAGTAAAAAAAGTCAATTTTCATATAAAAACCAAAATAAATCATAACTCTGCAGGGGTTGACCTTAGAGACCTCCCGTAGAACAATTTTTTGCCGCTGATGACCTCATCTATCCCCTATTTGCGTTTGATCCACGACTTTTTGGCCACCCTGTAGAGTTTTCTAATTATAAATTATAATTAAAGAACTCAATCTAAGGAAGATTGTCACTTCATCTGTCATCTGCTTTTGACCGATTTATAAAATGAAGTAGGTAAACAATTCGATGGGTAACTTATGGTCCTCAAATAATACGGATCAGTGACCAATTGATCCCATAGAAATATTTTGAAAGACACTAACCGCAAAGCATCGTCATGCGGCATGCCCCTCGACGCAAATATGTATATTTAATTATTTTCTTAATACAGGACATTATTAGAGCATTTAGGAGGCATAATATAGCGAAATAATAATAAAGATGTCTAAATAAATTCAAGTTTTTTTTATACATATAATTAAACATATATTTGGCCAACAGATTTAAAATGAAATGATCTTTGTGTATAGTCTTTGGTCCCAACTCTCTCCCTGGAATTTTAGTTTAATGAACCCGGTTGATTTAGGTACACAAAAGCTAGATTTCACTGACAAGTGTGTGTCACCTGTTGTTAACAGAACGTAAGATACCATTTTACATGTGTTAAACTTTATGAGCAATAATGGAGTGTGAAATGCTATGTATGTAATGTATGTAGTGAGATGTTGCACGATGAATCGGATTAGAAGATTATTATTTAATTCATGAAATAGAACGTGTTTATAGTAGTAGCTATAACAATTACGTACCTACCCGTTATTAATAAATTAAACATACAATTGTTATACTGTTGCTGTGGTTTGTATACTAAATACTTTAAATATAAATGTCATCTTAATTTTCTTCTATAGTGCTATCTTCTTTCGAACTTTGGCGAAATCAATTATCGCGTTTCCGAACAATGATTTGGTGCTATAAGCAAACTATTACCTAACATATAGCTATAGTTCCAGACATATAAGTTGGTCAAAGAGAGACATAAACGTTTTATGTTTTTTTCTACTTAACATATACACGTATAAATTCTACAAAAATAACGCGTGGCAACATTACCACGAAACATTTGTCTAAGAAATATGAGAAGACTAATATAATAATTTAAGATCAAATATAGTGGCCGAGCTTTGAACTTTCACGCTGTACCTTATAAGGTTTTTTTTCATTTCAAACCTTTTAAAAGTGATAATTTTTAACCGATTTAAAAAAACAAAGCAGAAAGTGTAATTCCACGTGTAATTTATTTTCTTTAACAGTGCGACCAAACGCTGCATTTTATATATTTATTTTTAGGTTTTTGATATATTCTACTACTTCTGTTTCGTCTGGATTCCAAGTCTTCCGTCTTGCCCTTCAGGCGATTGACCACCCTGCGGCGGCCCAAGACGAGGTCCGAGTCTCGCAGGAGATACCCTTGCGCTAGTTGCGGGAATACGCCCATTCCAGCCGAGCTACGCTTGCCAATACAGCCCGAGCTAAGCTGTAAAGGCCCTTAAGGCCAACAGCGAGATTCCATTCATATAAAAAACCACTGATGCTCCTACACAATCCTACATGGATCTTGACTCCTTCTCAGATTGCAACTGCTGTGTGATTTTTTAGGCAAGTTGGTGAATAGCTTCCTGTGTCTGACACACGTCATCGGTTTCTTTAGTCTAAGTATATGCCAGTTTTAGATCGATAGATAAGGTAGATAAGATAAATCCTAAAACGTATGAAAATTAATTGCGATAATAGATTGGATTCGGAATTTGAACTCCCTCATTTAATATTCTCTCGGAACCAAATCTACGACCTAATGCGACGCAACTCAATTAATGAAACAGGTACGATCTCAAGTGAGAACTAGAGTTTTAAGTTTTAATTATTTTACTCAGATACAGTAAACATTATAATAATATTATGATTATTACTAACCTGCTTAGTTTCCAAATATCTTTTGGTATATTTCCAATATTATTTCCCCCAAGATAAAGATATCTTAATGATGATAACTCTAGTACCTGTTCGGGAAATACATTCAGTTGATTTCCGCATAAATTAAGTTCTTTTAGAGAACTTATTGATGAGAAAAAGGACTTTGGCAGCGACTCATTGGTTAAATTATTATGTTTTGCTATAAGAGAAGACAGCGCACAATTTCTTAGTACATCTGGAAGGACAGTGAGCCGGTTGTTGCTTATATCAAGAATTTTTAAATTTGAGAACCAATTGAGCGCTCTCGGTAATGCCTTTATTCTGTTGTTGTAAAGCAGGATCGTCTCAAAATTAGCCGCGCAATTCTTCTCGTTGATAATGATGTCCAATTCAGACGTTATCGCTTCACAGTCCAATAACCTATGGGACAGGTCTAAAGTTTTTTGCTCTCTGCTGTCACTGTCGCAACTATCAGATGTGTAGTAGCACTCCATTTTGGCAAATTATATGTAAAGTTGGAAGAGTCTTAAATTCCTTTCACGGTAAGGTTGAAGGAGCCACGGACAACCCGTGTCGCCAGGCTCGCGACGCACGCGCAACTGGTGTGACAATAATATAGTAATGACATGGACAGATAGATCGCTATAATATGCCGCCATTTCATATTTACTTTGATAAAATATACGTCTAACGTGTTATTATTACAAAAGATAACAACCCGCCGATAGCGGCGGTGTTAAAAATACTACCAACGAAACAAAGCACTGTTTAAATTATTGGTTCCTTTGTATTAAAAACACCTACAGCAAGAGGTTCTTGCATACATAGTAATTGTAGTTTCTTTAACGATAGCCACGATGGATATAATAACTCTAACATATCTTTAATTTTAACAAAAATACCCCTTTCGTCAGTTGAAACCCTTATTTTGTGTATTCATATATAAATTATAACTACTTATTTTATGTAATTTGGATAAATGATTGATTTTATTGATTCAATAAAATATGATTAAAATTTCACTGCGGTAAGGTTCCCCACATCCCCATTAACGTCTTCGTTTAAGCTGCAGAGAGAAATAGTCACGACTTACGAGTTACGACTAATGCTTCATTTTCATGATGCAAAGAGATAGGTACAACTTAAAGAGTCTTACTAAATAAACATGCCCCAGCGATGATAACGCTTGGCAGTGTTCAATTAACTTAATTTATATTATGCACTGTAAGATTAAAGAAATTTGCTCTTATGATTTAGATACCTTTAAAATAGAAACCAGTTAGGTATACAATAAGTAACTCTTAATGCCCCGAAGAATGTAAGCTATTCATTGTGAATTTGTGCTAACGCTTCATTTGCATTTCTGCATTTTATTTAAGCAAATTACATTTCAATATTGATATTTTTATATACGCGCCATCTGCTGGTCTAGGAATTTATTAGTATGAGTAGTTATAATAGATGGCAGTACAGTTATAAATAAATGGCAACACTTTATGAATGACGTCATATCGATGAACAGAAACGTTCCAATATTCGTTATTAGCTAATAAGGTAACATACATTGTATAAAATATTATAGCTATTATTATTTTTATGATTTAATAAATTTAATTTTTATTTACAAAAGTATAATGCTGGTAACTTTAAAATTTGTATGATAAAGTTACATTTGTTTAAAATGATTAATATAGCAGATTGAAATTGATTAAAAATATTTATATGAAAAACGCAGTGTTAAATAATATTTATAATATCAATTAAAAATTATAAATATAATATAAATTCGGCAAATAATGTTACGGACGAATAAGAATCTTGCGTGTAATGAATTTGCCGTCACTGATCGAAGATCCGAACGTTTTCCGAAAATAGCCGAATGAGTGAGCGAACAACCTAGTCTGTGCTGCTGTGAAATTCCGATTTCGACCAGTCCGTAAAACTAAAAATTTATTGTTCATTGTATTGATGTAAATTTGTAAAAAGTAACAAAATGGTATTATAAAATCTTTAAATACGTCATTCCTCTGCTGTAGGCGATATTGTGGTGATATAATTTCGACAATCATATGCACAGTTTTGTATTTAGTGATTTAAGTGAGAAAGTTCAGTGCGAGTGCATGCAAGGGTGGTAACGAGAAATGTGAAGTAGTATCTATGAAGTTCAAGATTGGGCCGTTTATTTTATATCTTTAATAATGAGCGGGCGCCCTAGGACCACGTCATTCGCCGAGGGCAGCAAATCCGTTCGAAAGACATTTGAAAATCAACCACCTAAACCACCTTTAGGAGGAGTAAAAATTAGTAGTGAGTACCACTTAACCATTCTTTGTCGGCCATCGTGATTTCTTACGCTATGACGTTTCTGAATTCTACACATAATTAGAGTTGATCAAATCTATCTGCGTAGAATTCATATAACCTAAGTCATATTTAGATATAATCGATAACGGCGAAAGGTACATTTCCTTTACAGTAATAATGCCTATAGGATGTTGATCGTACCTGCCACATAGGCCTTGGCCCGATCTTTGACAGATATCATGTCAAAATTTGAAATTAATTAGGAAAAGCGAGGTTTAGATACGTCTTCGTCGTCGCCCTAAGGATTACCAATAAAATATTTATGACGACTCGATTTGGTTAGGTTACTTTTTATGACGTAATTGTTAAATTAGTCTAATTATAAGTAAACAAATTGCTTATTTAGTTAATTTAACCAAATTAAAAGTTAAGTCTCTCGAATCTCATAACTTTAAATCTTAAGGCACTTTAAAAAAAAATATTTTTTGAGTTATGGTTATATCTTTTAATGGTCATTTAAATGATTTATTTTTCTTTGTTTATATTTTCAGCATTAATTATAATGTACATTTGTATATGTTAAATATACAAAATTCCAGCCCATGGCATATGTGATTTTATTTGTCCAATATATAGACTAAATAAATATGTAAATTAGAGAGTTTATTTTAGGTGCATTATCTACTTTTTGACAAATGGAAATAATGTGATTCTTACTAGTACATGACAAATCCTTCAATAATTTTTAACCAGCTACTAATCCATGAATCTTTAGAAATATTAAAACAAGCTTTTAACTGGCGCACAATTTTTTAAACTTTTTCAATGAAAGTTTTAAACTTGTATCTTTTTCATTTAGTTGCAAGGCCACACTTCTAACAGATTTCTTGTGGGGTGTTTGTCGTGCAACACACAACTCAAGAGTATTAATGAATAATTGACCAATTACAGGGACAGGTGCCTTAGAGATTAGCTAGAAATTGTCTACCATATGCTTTTAATAAAGTAATAGTTTTAATGTTTTAGTTTTAATTAACATATTTATATTTGTAGAAATTTCAATTTGAGTAATGATTTTTTTATGCTGAATTTGTTTAAACTTAAAATGCTTTTAGTAACTTAATTAGTTACTACAAACATTACATAAGAAAACGGTCTTAAAAACCATAGTCTGATTTTATTACTTGAATACAAATCACTACAATTCTTTATATTCATAAGTTATAAGCAAATTCATAAAATAATCCATAAAATATCAACTTTATAGCATACATTTCATTAAAACACTTTGAAGAAGATATTGAATGCAGTACTTTTTTTTCTCAAGTCTGGATTTAGTTTGGTTTTAGTTACTATTGGTGAGATAATAATTAATATATATATAATTTTATTCATGAAATGAGGAATGAGAATCCTGAAAATGAGCTCTACCTAATGGTTTTTTAATTTCACAGCTTTGGAGACCATGTCTGATGGTAAGATTGAAAGTCAATACTTTGCACTAAGTATGGTTTCCATAGCAAAAGCATATTGGATTTGTCAAGAATGTGTTTAATTTTGACATACTGGTCTTGACTCTGTATGACGTTTCGTGCGAACTATATTTCTCTCATCTGTTAATATCCCTCAATTACATCATAATAATTAGTTCCTTCTTAACATGTTTCTAAATTTCAGTACATAAATTTTTATTCAACACAAAAATATATTAAAAATCGTTCAGTCATTAAATGGTTAATACATGTTTACTTAAGACCAGAGTTTTAGTTTTTCTATTTCTGTCAAACTCTGTGATGAACAGAATACTTCCGTTACCATGGTGTAAGTAGACTTATTTAATTTTAAAGGATAAGGGACCTAAACTAAACTGTTGAATGTTCCTATCCCTGTTATATTTGTTTAATTACCCGAAGTTACAGCCCTTAATGTTACAACAACTGTATCCATACATTATTAATAATAGACACAGTAAAGCCTTGGCTTCCATTTATGGATTTTTAATGGACTTGGACTTTTGAAGTTTTATTAACTGTCCAAATGTTTTGTCCCTTTTTAATTTATATAATTTCACTTCATAGCAACAAGACTTGAAGTATTGTTACAATATAAGCATCTATATTTGTAGGCCGAGGTTTCTATGATTTTTTTTATTGTTATCAGTATTATTTTAAGTTGTTATAATTGCATTATCAGATATTATAAATATTTGTTTGCATTTTCTTGTCTTTTATATAAACTACTTTTATTACAAAGTTGTTTATAGGGGGGTGGATTATTATATTAGCGCGGTTGGTTGGAAGGTTATGGTGTCATCATTTATTTTAACATCAACCTATGAATGGTATATTATTTCAATCTATGGTTGGAATCGAAATCGTATGTGTATCCATTTATGTATTTCAGAGCACATTTCTACTTTTTTGTATGGCAAATAAAGCCAAAGAATTGTCATGTGTTGATTTCTAATTTTATTATACAGTCAGTTGTTATCAATGTTTTATGTTATCAGTGACTTTAGTGAGTGGCGGCGATCTAACTATCATGTGCGGACGAGAGCACCATCCTGTCATTCGTAATGTGAGCGTGGCGACAATCTCTCGTTTTTGAATGCCAGTCGTTCAGGTGACCACTTGCTGGTAGCGACTGCGTGTCTAGCACGGGCTAAATCTCTTTAATTGCAGCGCGAATTCACAGTCACGTATCTTTCTAGTAACTACGTTATTTAGCTCTTGAATTGTGTTTTATATTTCGACAATTTATTGTGAAAAGATGCAATGTAGTGTCATTCGCTCGTTACGTAAAAGTTTCTTCATGTCCTATGTGTTCAATAATGTGGTGATTTCATGTGAAAAAAAATATGAATAATGTTGCGTCGTCGTGGTACATATACGGTGAACGATGAAGCCACTATTCGTCGTAATCGAAAATCGGATAACTTTATAGTCACGAAGAGTATTGGTGAGTCCAATTGTCAATTATTATTCTATGAGCTTTTTTATGCAGAAGATACCATTAGCTTTATAGCATATGTGTATATTCTATTACGAAATCAACTATGTAAAATACAAAAGCTTTTAGTAGCTTCTTGTACATGTAATTTTAATTGACTATACAAATTCTATACATTTCTAGACTATACAAGCTATCTTAGTACCGAACTTCAAAGTGTCGTCATCGATTTTATGACTATTCTTTGTCATATTTACGTATATAACACTAATATAGGTTGATAAGATCAGATAACTGGTTAGCGTTTGACTACAGATAAAAGAGAAACTCACGCCAAAGTATGGAACTTGACAATATTTTGCATCATTTACATACGATACAATGATGTATCAGATTTTGTGTATATTTAATACAAACAGAGGAATTCAATACAAATATTATAAGAATTTATTGAAGAGTTTATTAAAAAATATCGTTTCTCCACATTAAACGCTGGCATATCATTGTCATAAACGCAACGATAACATCATCAAAAAATCTACTCTCAAATACTCGTAATAATAGTTAAAGTAAAAGTTGGTAAAAGTATGAACGTTCGTCAAGGTGATTTCGCAAAAATTTTGGATGTAATGCAGACGAAATGTAATGGTTGTATTATGGTAATTTTTTGGAATTTTAAGGAAGGATGAAAGTGATTCATTTGTTATAGTTTTAAATCTCTTTTGTAATGCCGATCATTAAATGAATATCTTCTTCTTTTAGTGCCTCTCCATTACTGGAGGTTGGCCGTCAGTATCTTGAAGCGTGTCTTGTCCTGTGCCAGATGCAGCAACTCTTCCGCAGTTGCAATACCTGTCCATTCTCTAACGTTGCGAAGCCATGATTTCTTCCTTCTACCAACACGCCGTTTACCCTGGATTTTACCCATTATAATTAATTGAAGGAGGTGGTAGCGGTCATGGCGCAACACGTGGCCCAGGTACGCAACATTCCGTTGTTTAATGTTCTGCAAAAGTTTTTTCGACATTCCAACTCGTTTCAGAACCTTCTCGTTAGAGACCTTGAGAAAATTAATATAGATAACAAATATCCTTCTAAATATTTTTCTTGTTTTTATCATATTGGGCATGTGGTAATAAACCGCATAACGATTGACCATAATTATCTAGTCAGTTAATAATCAATTTATCAATGTGATTATCTCGATTTACAAATTAAAGTTCTAATAGATAATATTTTAATTACATTGATGTCAACTAGCAACTACTTTAGGTGAGTACGATGATAATAGAGATGCAAATTCATAATATTAAAGACTTAAATGCCGTGTATAATAAAATTAAGAAGTAACTAACTTAAAGTAACTCGTTATTAAAATCAACAATATTTATTGCTTGATTATTACGACGATGAAACAAATCTATAAAACAAAGGGCTATCATTTTATACTTATTCATTCCCAGGCAGGCAGCGAAGGCTGATCTCCTACTTACCTATTAAAACTGATCTCGTAACAGGTACAGAAATCAACTTTTTTTTAAACCCAGGTTTATCCCAATCTTTATCATAATAAATTAATAAATAAACACCTAAGCATTATCATTGATTACGCTCAGCTAAATTCAGCTTAACCGGGGCATATGTAGGCGACTAGTAACAAAGATAGAGTGGCAGCAGAACCGGTTCGTCTTTGTTTCTTACTGCATCAGTATGAATGAATTAGATCACGGTGTCCCCTTGCAATAACAATGGACGCCCCCAGCTGTGACACAAGTAAGGCCACGCTTTGCATGTCGCATATATATGTTCTTGGCCGGTTAGATTTTAAGGCCAAAAACATCGCAGTTCTTTTCAAAGAGAGGTACTGATTATATTAATATATTATATCAGTACCAGCATTTGTGTTGGAATTGTGTCCTGTCATAACTACGGTCTTTGGCCTGAAATATTAATTGTTCATGTACACTATATTGGCCCCTGTCGCTTTATATAACTATTTATAGGTATCAGATTCGTTATCACATCAAGATTTAAAGATTAACAAGTAGGCACAGTAAGAATGAATTGTAAAAAACGAGAATACCAATTTATCAGTTGTTAATGTTAGAAAAGCGAAAGTTTCATGCGAAGAGTAATTTGAATAATTTTTATCGTGTTTCCCTTTTAGATGCATTGATTATCTAGGAGCCGATAAAACGCAAAATCCTGCTGAAATAAGCATTACATTGACATATTGTTTTTAAGTTATGATTGATGATTTGTAGGTCTTTGTTAAACCTGCTACTTTATTGCATAGGTGCAAAGTTGCGGCTCTAATATTGACAATAAAACTTCTACTATAAAATTTAGTGCATTTTTCTCATATCTCATTTAGTTTGTTATTAATGTAATTAGCAATTTGTGTATAAATTTGTTTCTCAACTTCTCGGTACGCGATTAGATAATATACTGCGTAACTTGAATGTAATAACTTTCATATACTCGGAACGAATACGTGAGTCGTCTCGAGGCGATAAGTTTTTGTGTAAATCTAGAGCATTTGTTTAATTTTAAATAATTTAACGTGCCAATTACATGAATAATGCACGTACACAATTGCATCCAAGATTGCTTAGCTTAACTTAAATTTAGGGAATTTAGTCTTAGGAAAGGTTTCAACTTTTTTGAACGAAATATTCAAGTTCAAAAAACACATTTATTTTATTAATTTGTAATTTCTTAACGCAGACAAACCTAAAAAAAGCTTTTATTATTTTATATAAATTAAAATATTCGTAAATAAAAATATATTTATTAACATATTAAGATGCAATTTCGTGAGTTGTACTTCACTAATACTGACGAATTGTGTACATAGTTTAACGTGCGAACGATTTATAATATTGTTGGTGTAAAGAGAGGTGACGTCATCAGTCATAATACAAAATTATCATAACATGTATAAAAAGATAGACACGGCAGCGTGCGATGGTCATGACACTGAACAATGATCAATTTATATATGACCTTATTTTACTATGATCCTGTTATGCTATTAAAAAATGCCTGGTTTTACTGTTATCTTTATTATATTATCTGTAAAATCATTAAGCAGTTGTATATTTTGCATTTCCTTATAATTTTAACTCGGTTAGCCAATAAGAGAGTGATAAGGTAGGTATGGTAAATTCTGAAGATGTATTTGACTGTTTCATATGCCGATATACAATAAAAAATTTACTAAGGTTAACAATCCTGTTTCTAAAAAAATAATATTGGTGTGTTTGTAACAAATAAGAAAACGACCTACTAAAATTAATTGCTTTCTGGCAGCTCCATGTTATACGATGACCGTATAAGTTGTAGCACTCGACGTCAATATTTAGGCAGTAAATTTGGAATTAAGTCAGTATTGGTTAGATGCCTTGTTTATTAGGTTAGTGACAAAGTAAGTTGTACGTGGCGTTGTGCGCCGCATTTAGCCGGCAGTCGTAGTTGGAGCGTGGTCGCGTTCACTATCCAAGCTGGCTTATCCGGGACCAATATGTTTAGAAAATTTACGCGTGTCCGAGGGTCCGAGGGCCCACCGTCCCGTGGGGGAAGTAACTGCCCGTTCGGAACCCTCCCTCCTCCGACTTGACGACAGAAACGGTCAATTGAGCCGAGCATGTGACCGTATCACCACTTTTTGTAAGAAATTTCGACGCACGATTAGTGAGTTTAAAAAATATATTTTAATGTGACTGTTATATATGTGCAAATTCTAATGTTGCTTTTGTGTGTGTGACACGCAGGCGAAGTGGATACGCTTAAAAAGAACGAGCTGACATCGGATAAGAAAGGATCTGGCTCACATCGTAAGTGCTAGATGTGCACAGCATTAGCTCATGTAGTATTAGATTGATGTCGTTGCCACCTTCATTCGTAGGCTATCCTCTGACTACTTGCTTCTTTTCACATTTGCTAAGCCCGTTCTTATCGACGAGGGTCACTTTATTAAAACATAACGTAATCAAAATTGGTAACACGCAATTAAACTGAGTAACAGTAAACGTAAACTCGAAAGATAAGAATGAGCTGAAAAGTTTACATTGAAATGTTAGTGTGTATGAAAATGTATAGAATATGTTGTAGGAGGGCCTTTGTACTGCCAAAGCTAGATTTGCTGACGTCCAAAGAAAATCTGTCGTAGAAAATGTTCTTTAAACTAGATTTCTAAAATTTTAATATTTTTGAATAACGTCTTCAGTCTAATCGCTGCTTCTTTTACTGCTTTTAGTATTTTTCTATTCTAATAAAATAGAAAAATTTATTTCTAATAAAACGTGAATGTTATCGTGTTCATTATTTTTTAAATTAAAACTAACTAGTTCAAGCTGTTTTGGTGTTGTCGCTTATTTTTGAAATGCTACGAACTGGCTTTATTATTTTAGACATCTCTATTTACTTATTTAATTAAATTGTAATTATTATTATAGCTAATTTAAATTATTTTATATAATAATTATTAAAAATATAGCCGAGAATGTTGTAGACATTCAAATAAAACAACATTTCAAACAACAAAAAAAATACTTTTTTTTTTATAGGTGATGCTCGTTATATAAAATTTATATCACACATTTCATTATCTTACCCCAGTAGCGTTAAAAATTATAAAAAAACACAGTTTTAACTATTAAAGATAGTGACGTCACACAATGTTGAGGAATTACATACACACAGCCTTACATAGTAAACACAGTATCACTAGAATTAATTAAAATGCATGGTAACACATAAGAAAGTAATTTTTACAGACAAGACAAGTACACGATCTTTATTATTGCTTCTTTGTCTCAATGTAAGCTTGTTCCGCTTTCTAGGTCAATAGAAGTTAGTACCTCCGAGTTGACATGTCTACCGACAACTATTTTTGGCAATTTATCTACGACCCAATTACACGGAATATTTTTATAGATCGGGTACAATTATTTTATACGTACTGCTAAGTAATGAGTGGTGCAGAATTTTTTACCTTATGCCGAAGATCTCATCATGTTTTTTATTGCAACATTTAATTAGCAGTTAATCTAGCTCTACAAATATCTAGGTGAAAAACTCAGACAATGAAGTATTTATCATAATCGAAATGCCACCCGGCGCACCTTAGCAACTATTGACGTAAGCTACCAGTAGCACTACCCTTGTTTATCGGCTATAATAATTCCCTTGGGGCGCTTTCAAATAATGCTATGTTGGACAGTGAAATTCCATTCCAAGCGTAGGACGACTTTTAAAAATAAAGTATGGAATGCCGTAACTACCCAAACAGACATTTGTTTTCGTTTTTTAATTGATAGTGTTAAAAGAATTGTATCAGCATAGCCTTATCTAAAACAATTTTTTGGGGCGTAAAAATTTTTGATTATTTGATATAAATTTTTTCGGCGTCGGGACGTGACGACCCCATCGGTGAAATAACCGATAGAGGTTATTTTACCAGCGCAATCAGTCAAACCATGCCTAGTGGGAGTGCTATGCTGTTGCTTTCAGGCTTCAGCTAAATGGGCAGACACGACCGGGACAGTATCTCTCCGAGTAATAATGATAAGTTTGCTTTATGGTACTCGCATTTCATGCGGTGATAAGGTTCCCGGAGCCCATCCCCTTCCAAAAAAAATAAAACATGTTATCTGTATGTTCTTCTACACGCGTTTCCTTTTCTGTTTAGTAAGGTTTTGAGCAACTTGGATATAAATAAATAGTATTAGAGTTTGATGCAATCTATATCGGACTGCAAAACTGATTTTTATTAGTTGCATTGTCGGTTCAGTATGTTTCATTACGTAAGAGTTTTATTACTGTTTCCTTTGTGTTTCTATTCTAAATTGATAATTTCTTTAAAAATTGTTTCATTGCCTCCTTAAAATCACAGTTAATTCACTGATTGTAGCACTGTTTCGTATAGTGACCGATCTCAATACACTATTTTGTCAACTACGTCGCATTTTGTGTTCGTTTTATCTAATTAGTGGTAT